GAAAGGGAAGAAGGAAAGAAAGATCAGGGAAACTACATCTGAAAGTCAGTCATTCATTCCACTAGTGTGCATTTCTTTTTTCCTTTTTGCTAGCCTGAATCCAGTGTAGAGCAATCCACTGTATATCATGTTATTGTTCATAGGTGGACAGTGCATAGTTAGGAGCAAAATATTTCTTTAAAATTCTTTTTTAAAGATGCAAAATTCTTTTGATTATTTAATGATTCTCTAGTTACAGAAATATCTCCTATGGGCTTGTTATTTATGTCTGTTCATCCTGAAGTTAATTCCATTATAGCCTTATAAATGAGTAAGCTCAAATATTTACTTGTATGTTACAGTTTTTTTTTTTTAAGATTTTATTTATTTGACAGAGAGAGACACAGCGAGAGAGGGAACACAAGCAGGGGGAGTGGGAGAGGGAGAAGCAGGCTTCCCGTGGAGCAGGGAGCCCGATGTAGGGCTCCATCCCAGGACCCTGGGATCATGACCTGAGCCGAAGGCAGATGCTTAACAACTGAGCCGCCCAGGTGCCCCTATGTTACAGTTTTTTTAAAACTGACCTACTTTTAAATATGAAATAGTTTAAGGAGATTGGCATTATTCTCTATATTACTGTGGATAAATTATTTACTCAAACCGGATGAACTAGCAATGACTATTTCTAAGACTGGTGTTTGGAAAAATTTCATGAGCAGCTTTCTGACAGATTTAATATTGTGATACAAGGTTTAGTGTATTTCTTTAAAAAATCTATCCTATAATGAATTACCTGTTAATATGCAAAAAAAAAAAACTAGCACTAACTATAAAACAAACCACAGGTTTCCCCAGTGGTTGTAAATAAGTTGGCATTTAATATTTTATGCTAGTTTTTCCACCTGCAAAGTAGGAGTTATATTTACCATTTAATATGGTTGAAATGAAGGTATGACAATGCCTGTGTTCTCTCTCAACGAGAAGTTACGATATCATTGCGGTCAGAGCCATTGTTCATGATGTGGGGCTGTGTGCTCTGCTCACCTCAATGTGGAATCATTGACTGTTTCACTGTTCGTATTATTTTCTTAAGTATTTATTGTCCTTCCTACCATCATAGCCTTGGGCATATAGCCTGTGCCCTGCAGGAGCTCATGGTTAGCATTTGTGGGGTTGGGGGATAAAGAGATGGTCACTGTAATAGGCGAGGGTGTTATTATAGAAGCATCTTGGAGAGCCATCTAGTTCTGAAGGGTGTGTGAGGGGAGGGCAGGAGGTTGGGGAGTCTTTCCATGCGAACACTGAGAGATGACCTTGGGAGTGGGAGGGACAATTCTGGGACAGGACGCCAAGTCTGTGAAAGAACAGAGCTTATTCAGAGAAGGCAAGGAAGTCAGTGTAACAGATCAGGGCAAGGGAGGAGGAAGGGCATGGGGTCCAGAGTTGAATAATGCAAATAACCATTCCTTGTTTTATTTTATTTTAAAAGCATTTTAGATGGCACCTTCTCAAATCAGAACCCATTTCTATCATTTCTATACTGAGTGGCGTTTTATCATTCTTACCACCATTTGTACATTTCCACTCCTTTTTTTTTTTTTTTCTCCCCAAAGTTCCATTAGCTCACTGGATCTGGCCCTGTATGTCCAGAATGAAGCACATTAAAGAGATTTATAGGCAGTTAATTGGCTGTCTCTTTCTCACTTACCCTTTTATGTTTAAATGTACATTTTGTTGTTTCTAAATGTTACATTATTGTAAAGTACAGCATTCACAAAAGATAATTTAGGAGGTTTTTTTGGTAAATTACCTGTAAGATGAAAAGATAAATTCCCAAACTTAAGGAAAAGCAGTTAATTTCCTGAGGCTTATATTCAGGAAATCTTACTAAGAGCAATTAACATAGGTTTAAAAAAAGTAGTTGAAGTCATTATTTATTCTTTTACATTGTTGTTTACAATTTGTGCAATATTTAAATTGATATGCCCTCAAAATGCCCCCAAATGATTTGTGCCTATATAATTACATTTCATATTTTATTGTTGTCGGTTTTGTAATACATATTTATACATTTAAGCTTCCTTGAAAATTCTAAGCTTTTAGTATTTTTATGGATACTCAATAAATAGTAGCTGTTATGATGATGATGAAAAAGCATGAAGAGAAGGGCAGATTCAAATGAAGTACGATTTTGATTTGTGAAGTTTAGGCAGGTGTTAAAGGTTGTTGATAATTGTTGAGTCGGTGACTTCATGGTGAAAGAGAAATGTTAGTCTTTTAAGGTTGCATTTGCTGTTGGTAAATGGTAACATTGCCCTGGCTTGCATTTTCCCTCCTGGGGCATGACAAAATGCTATTTCTTGTATATCCTTCAAGAAATATTCCTTTATAAACATGCATTTAGAGAAGATGTCTGTCCATTTGTTTCTCTACAGGTGGGATATGACATGCAGCTTGTTTTCCCCCCCTTTGAACAATGAACTAAATAGTTCCTATAGTAATTATAATAATATTATAAATATAATAATAACAATAGTTAGCATTGTTGTGCCAGGCACTATGCCATAAACATATGCCATGCATTATTCTTTTTATGTTCACCAGCCACTGACAGAGAAAGAAGCTGAGGAACAGAGAGGGTAAGAAACATGCCCAAGGTCACACAGCTAGTGGGCCTGGGCTTCAAACGCAGGGGCCTGACTGCAGAGCCTGGATGTTCAGTCACTGTCTTCCTCATGAGCATTGTGAGGGTGATCTGTGTCAGCTCAGAAAGCCTTGCTTGCTCTCTTTGATGTTCAGGCCTTCCACATTTCCATCAGGTCTGTTACGTCTGTGCTCTGCTCTGTGCCCTGGGGGTCTCCAGCTGCCAGTCTCTGCGTCTCTCTGCGGGTGCTCTCAGAGCCCCATTTGCCCGCTTGGCAGCAGGCACTCTGCACCCACCACCGTGGTCCTCCAGCGAGAACCTAAACACCGCAGCTCCCTCGCTCTTGGATGGGATCACACTGAGGTTGTGTATTCTACCCTGATTCCCCGAGTGCCTGATCTGGGGTGTATTCCAGTGACCCACCGGTAATGTTACTAGAGTCGGATTCTTGGGCCCGACAACAGAAACGAGGCTGGACCCCAAAATCAAAGGCCCAGGCAAGGCTTTCTTGTGGCTGCCGCTTGAACTGAAGGGAGACTCAGCACCAACAGAGAGCGTGGTTAGGCTGACCTCTGCAAGCAATGAGCAACAGGGAGGCCTCGCTTATCTGGAGAAAGTTCCAGTTCACGATGCTAATGAGGGAAAGGGGGAAAAAATGCCTCTATCTGATTGGTTAGCAAGGGCCTAGTTCTGATTGGTTGGCAAGGCCTCGTCCTGATTGGTTGGCAGAGCCTCGTCCTGATTGGTTGGCAGGGCCTCATCCTGATTGGTTGATATTGGCAGGCAATTCAGGCAGCTTACTGGTGCTTTTGGAGCCGGGGCTTCAGGTTGGTGGAGCCTCTCTTTTCAGTCGAGGTTGTGTATGGAGCTGGGTCCCGGTTCTGCTCTGTAAGAGAAGCGGTTTAACAATACAGCAAACAGAAAGTGCCCCAGGTGCATAAGGTTTTTCATTTGGGGCTTGTTCCCATGGTCTCTAACTGTCTCAGTGACTGGCTTGATTCTGCACCCTGATTGCGGGCCTTCCCTTTTCTTTAATTTTTTATTGTTATGTTAATCACCATACAGGGGTCTTCCCTTTTCTGTGTTACGTCCCCGCTTCCTTACCCTATCTCCTTTGATTCTCAAACAAATGGTTTGCATTGACTCCTTGTCCTATGCTTTGCTTCTGGGGCACCCAGGCTAAGACAGGCTGTGTGGTGTTCCATTGTATGAAGGAACCGGAAAGAAGAATATCAAGATGACTCCAGGATTCTGGCTGGATTAAATGGGTAGTTCAGGAAGGTTGACAGTGGATTAAATTTCGGAGGAAAATCAAGAATTCCATTTTGGATCTTTTTTTAAGTTGGAGGTATCATTATATCCAAGAAGATGTCAAGGAGGCAGCTGGTTATGCTCAGTCTTCTGGAAGTTAGAGAGGTCTGTGCTGAGATATATAAGTGGTGCTGTTTGAACCCATGATATTTAAAATTTCAGTCCTAGAGGGAACCATGAGTGTACAGACTGTGGAGAGAGAGAAGGGAGCCTGGAACAGAGAAGAGAGCAAATCGTAGGGGGGCCAGGGAGCGTGTTCCTCTGAGGCCAGTCTTCCCTACTCCAGAATAGAGAGAGCGGTGAGACTCAAAGCTGCTTCTAGTGGGCAATAACTCAATGTCCATGTGGTGCATCAGCCCATCTAAATGCAATGGAGGACAGGCAACAAGGGAGCAGAGATTTCTCATGTTTGTACTGGAAATGTACCCACTGTGGGTTCAGGGGGAGAACTGAGCTCATGAAACTTCTTCACCTAAAGTAAGAGGTGACCCTTTCATTCATGGAAAGTCAGATTGCACAAATATAAATTGACATGGAGAGTCTACTTCCAAATTAAGAAATAGATATTAGGTAAAAAGCAGCTAAAAAAGAGAAACGTTTTCCACTAAAAGGACAGAAAAACCATTAGCCATATGAAATTTTAAAAAAGATCTGGCATATTTCTCCACTCTTGATTTGTATCACTAACATAATCATAATGACATTTTGATTTTTTTTCTTGCTTTGTTTTGCAAGTTCCTTGCTTTGCTAAACAGCTCAAGATTTATAAATGTCATCGACAGAATGAAAGTAGTAGAACTATAACCAAGTTGTGTGTACGTGTGTGTGTGTGTGTGTGTGTATAGACATGGAATAATTCAAGCTTATTGTATGCTTTAATTCAGATTGAAAAGGGCAAGGTTGATGTTTCTTATTTTTGTGATTAATAGATCATTTGTGCTTTTATTATTAGTATTTGCTCAAACTCTAATTTTCCAGTCTTTTGTCAGCCAAGTGAGCATGTTTGTGTTAGAAGACAGTACTTAAGAATCAGCCAGCCCTCTGCCTTTTTAATCTTCCTTCTTAGGGTCAACCAGGACCACTGGGGCCACAAGGTCCTATTGGACCCCTGGGACTGCCGGGACCCATTGGCATTCCAGGAGAGAAAGGGATGAGAGGTGACAGTGGTCCTCCTGGGGCAGCAGGTGACAAAGGTGATAAGGTAAGACTCTTCTTAAGTGAGAAATTCTTACTAACAACTCACCAGCGCTACCATGCCTGATTTTTTTTTTCCAACATAAAGTTTGTATTTCTTTTTTTAAATTTTATTTTATTATGTTATGTTAATTACCATACATTACATCATTAGTTTTTGATGTAGTGTTTCATGATTCATTGTTTGCATATAACACCCAGTGCTCCATTCAATATGTGCCCCCTTTTTTTTTGGTAAAGATTTTATTTATTTATTCATGAGAGACAGAGGGAGAGAGAGAGAGAGGCAGAGGGAGAAGCAGGCTCCCAAGGAGCAGGGAGCCTGATGCGGGACTCGATCCCAGGACCCTGGGATCATGACCTGAGCCGAAGGCAGACGCTTAACCATCTGAGCCACTTAGGCGCCCCAATATGTGCCCTTTTAATACTCATCACCAGGCTAACCCATCGCCCCACCCCCCTCCCCTCTAGAACCCTCCGTTTGTTTCTCAGAGTCCATAGTCTCTCATGGTTCATCTCCCCCTCCGATTCCCCCCCTTCATTTTTCCCTTCCTGCTATCTTCTTCTTCTTCTTCTTCTTTTTTTTTTTTTTTTAACATATAATGTATTATTTGTTTCAGAGGTACAGGTCTGTGATTCATCAGTCTTAAGTGTTCACCATAGCACATACCCTCCCCAATGTCTTATCACCCAGCCACCCCATCCCTCCTAACTCCCACCACTCCAGTAACCCTCAGTTTGTTTCATGAGATTAAGAATTCCTTATATCAGTGAGATCATATGATACATGACTTTCTCTGATTGACTTATTTCGCTTAGCATAATACCCTCTAGTTCCATCCATGTCATTACAAATGCATGCCAGATTTTTTTTTATAATCACAAGTAGCCCGTACTAGCACCTTATAATAAATTAAGTCTAAACTTCTCTTCCGTAATCAGCCCTCATTCCCTAACTCTTTTCCAGAGGAGCATGTCTTTCTAGACTTTTCTATGCACTCAAATACATGAGTGTACGCAATGAAGGGTTGTATTCTTTCATGGCTTTCCTAAAAACCTAAGTGATATATTTATCATGCTAAGCCTTTCTTTTTTTAGTCAACCATATGGCTTAGAGATCAGTCCATATCAATTTATGTAGATTAAACTTATTCTCTCAAAAATACTGCACAATATGCCACAATATAGATAAAACTATAGTTTATTCCCTGTTGATATCCTGTCCCAACTTTGTGTTGTGCCGGGTGCAAAGGCAATCCTGTAAATTACCTGTGTTAAATTTAAGAGTTTATATTTCTTGGAGAGACAGATTCTGAGAAGTTGAATTTCTGGCATATAGGGTATCGAATGTTTTCTTTGAACGGATGCTGCCAAGTTGGCTTCCTAAGTACAAAAAGAAAAGTACAAAAGGTTTTTTCAAATATTGGCATTTAAGTTAATTAATGTAAAAAGGGGCACCCGGGGGGCTCAGTTAGTTAAGCGTCCGACTCTTGGTTTCAGCTCAGGTCACGATCTCAGGGTTCTGAGAATGAGCCCTGTGTTGTGCTCTGCGCTCAGGGAGGAGTTGGCTTGGGATTCTGTCTCTCCCTCTGCCCGCCTCCTTTCTCTAAAATAAATAAATAAATCTTTTTTAAAAAAGTTAATTAATGTAAAAAATAAATGACAACTGCTAAGAGTTTTTTTAAAAATGAGTTATTAATTATTTATGTTTTCAAGTAAATCAGTCTGTTAATCTAATACTTTAGTAACTTTTGTATCTTTGTTTTCCGGGATGTTAGGGTCCAACTGGTGTTCCTGGATTTCCAGGTTTGGATGGCATACCTGTAAGTATCCTTAAATTTTTTCCATTTTTTTTTTAAAAGGAAAAGCACTCATCAAAGCCCTTAAAATCACATTTTATCTCTCACTATGTATATTTATTTGGCAAACTCTTCTTTATTTTCTCCTGGTAGTACATGGAAGGATGCTTGCATTTTAATGTTGTGTAATAACTTTGAGACCAAAACACTACTTGAAAAGCAAGGTTTTCAAACAGATTAGAGAAAAACATTCCAAAATCTAAGCTACATGCACTTGCCATGTTCTAGAAATAAATGTATACTCATAGTGAAAGTTTTTATTTGCTGGTTAGTTTTAACGGAGGAAGGGGGCTTAATCTCTCATTTCTAATATGAAAACCAAATGAAAGGAGAGAAAGGTGTTTCAAGGGCTTTATAATCCATTAGAGTCTAAGGATTTTTAAAAAGGTGCTCTCCCAAATCTCTCAGAATATTCCAAACTAAATTAATTTCAGTTGGGCTATATTAAAATTTATCTGTATTTTTAATGCGCTACATAGTACTTGTGGGTGGGAAGGAAGTTTCACAAATTCAATAACACGTGAGTCAAAGTTGCCATAATTTGGTTACCCATATTGCAGAAACTTTGTGTTACAGTATTCTTGCAAAAACACCTCACTCATCAGCTATTTTCTTACAGGGGCACCCAGGGCCTCCTGGATCCAGAGGCAAGCCTGGCATGCACGGCTATAATGGTTCACGAGGTGATCCAGGGTTTCCAGGAGAGAGAGGAGTTCCTGGCCCAGGAGGCCCCCCAGTAAGACCCCCACAGCTCATCCTAAGGGGAATCTTAAGTGAAGGGCTCTACAAGGGGCACAAGCTTGATGTGTTCAAGAAACAGTGTTCATACAAGTGTGCTGGGAGCATGGTGAACAAATGGGGGTGGCTGGAGGGTGAAGACAGAGAGGTGTGCAAGACCCAGAGCTCTTGGGCCTTGCACACTGTGGGAGGAGTTTCTCTACATGCCATGGGAAGGCACCGGGGGGGTTACAAGGAAGGAAGCAGTATGATCTGATTGATGTTCCATTGAGATGCTCTAGGCTGTCGTGCGGGCAATGGATAGTAAGGGAAGGAGCGGGGAGGTCAGTAAGCAAAACTTCCATTGTTTATCATTCAGGGTTCACAGCAGACTCATAAACCCACTAGGTATTTCAAACAGGAAGGCATTTCATAGAGGGAATTTGACACATATTGGAAAGGTTGGAGGAGTGGAATTCAGGGACCACTGCTGGACTGTGATTCCAAGGGCTTGCACTTAGCTGAGATCCAGCAGCCAGGAGGCTTTCCTGCACATGACCACTGCCTCCCACCCCCATGTCCAGACACCGGCAAACAAACACTCAAGTTTCTAACCTTACCTGCTTGGCAGTAACGACAATACAGGAAGAGGATGTCTTCCTTACTTCTGCCTTCCAAATCTCATAAGCGCATCTCCTCGGTGGGCCCTAAGTCCCATTTCAGCTGCAAAGGGGTCTGGGAGATGTAGTTTTAGCTTTCTCATCCCCATTATGCAATAAGAAAAAGGGAAGGCGTTTGAATGGATGTTTAGAAACAGTTGACAATATCCAGCACTTCAGAAAACGTTACTGCTTTTAGGTATTTTTTTATTCAGAAATGTGGACTTTTATTTAAATATGAATTTAGCAAGAACTATTCTTTCCTGTACCCCTGATATTCCCTTTCTCTCTCTTTTCCTTTTTCTCACATAAAGATTGGAGATGATTTGGCCTTTTAAAACTGGTTTTCTGAGACTTCGGGAGCCTTTCCACTTCCCTGTAAATACTATTTCCCAAGATTCCTTCTAAAAGGTTTTCTTATCATCACCACTGTAATCATCCTGCTTTCTCCTCATGGGTTTTCCATTTGCTCTCAATTCTAGTGTGACTGACCTGAACACAGAACTCAAAAACAATTTCCAAATTTACATCTTTCTTTAGTACCAAGGAAGAACAACAACCATCTTCTATAGTTAAGCTTCTCAACCACCCTTTGTTTTCAAACTCAGCCATTTGAAGGCTCAAGTGCAGTCTGGTGAATGCACATTTCTTAAGATCTTCAAATTGGGTCAAACCCCATTCTGCTGAGTGTCCACAAATGTTCAGAAGAGGAGGAGTTCTCGATTTTAGCTTTCCCACAGTGTGCCATGGTGACCACGATACTGAAGTTTGCCATAATGGTGTCTTCGCAAAGCAGCTTTCTTCCCCTTGGCCCATTTCATTTACAGTCAGTCCTCACTTTGCCCAGTAGTGTGAGGCATGAAGAACGACCATGCAAGCTGGCCCCACACAAGCAACCTTAACATCCAATGGGAAAAAGTAGTATTGTTCCATGACCTCTAATACGTTTTGTTAAAATATTAAAAACTCTCTTCATGTGAGTTATAAATACATAGGGAAAATTTACAAAAAAACTAATATTGATTTAGTACACTGTTATTTAAAACATACACAGTGAGAATCGAAGTGTCTCAGGTCTTTGAAAACACTTACCAAGAGTGTTTTGAACAGTGCCTTCTGGCCGTGTAACTTACAGTAATGAAGTGAATACGTCTTTCTGTGCTCTGGTGAACTGTCATACTTTTTCTGAGTTTGGATCAGCTTTTAGTGCTGTGAACTGTATCTCAGAGTCCCTTTGCGATGAGGGTCTTGAGCCGGCGCCATGTCCTCTGGCAATCTTTAACCTTTTTGTCCCAGCCATTTCCCTTTTTTGTGTTGAGAACTTTGTCTTCATGGAGTCCCTCTGGCTCAGGAGTTTCAACATTCCACGATTGCTCAGTTATTTCTTCTAAGACTCCACTTACATTCTGTCTGAATTTTACTGCCAGCTTTATCATTTTTCATTCCCTCACTTATTCTCATCTTTGATGGCCAATTGCCTCTTGCGGTGGGGTCTATTTTCATGAAATATCATTTGGGTTTATCACTGGGAGATAAGGAGGGAACACAACTACACACTTTGCTTGTGTGTGTGCGTGCGTGCGCATGCGTTTGCGCCTACTGACTCACAGATGTGCAATGATCAATCATTAACAGACTGAAAAGAGTGATGGGACCAGGGATCATGATTCCCATCTGTTACTTATCTATGCCGATGAGCTAGTGGTGTAGTTACTCAGTTAATAGAAGGTGGTAACTGAAATTTGAACCCTTTTGTTGGAGGACTGGTGCTATTTAACTTAACTGTGGAACTAAAACTCATGCATATTGGAACTGCGTGAAGCAAGGACTGCCTGTGTAGGCCCATCTGATTTCTCAAGGGAAATAGTTGCTATAACTTACCATAAAAGCCTTAAGTGTCTCCCATTGGAAGCACAGTCAGGACTTTTCCAGAAGGGATTAACTTTGAAATCTGCATGTCCTGCGCGGGAGCTTGATACATGAAGATGGTAGAATTCTTATGTGATAACCAAGTTAAGATATGTTAAGATATCCAGTAGGCAATCTTTGGGGGAAAAAGGAATATATTGAGTTATTTCATTCACTTTTTAAAAATACTCTCAGTAAGCTTGCAGCTGCTTACAAAAACCTTCCAAAAAGAAGATACGTTTTTAAAAGTTAATCTTAACAAGAATACAGAGGCTCTATTTTGAACACAACAACTGAAATGAATAAAATCAATTTTTAAAACACGATGTCTAGGGCATAAATTATTAACTGACAATTGCAAAATTATTTACTTGTAAGAATAATACATATGAATTATTGTGTTTGAGGAAAAATGTAATTTTCCTGTTGAATAATTAGTAAATGGCTATGTATATTATTATATAATGTAACACTTACATATATTATATATTTATAACATATGTGTATATTAATAGATATTCTGTCTTTGGAGATTCATTAATAGATCTTAACTGAATATTGAATAAATATGTATGAGAACCTTAGGATGATAGCAATAATGAAGAGAAAAAAGAAATCCCCACTAGTAAAACATGACTATAATGGTATTTTACTGGTAATATTTCATACAAAAAAGAAAATGCTGAAATAGTAATATGCTTTTTTCCCCCTCTTAAGTGAATATTTTATTTTCAGGGCCTTCCTGGGGAAAGTGGAGAAAAAGGAAATTCAGTGTTCATTTTAGGTGCCATTAAAGGTATTCAGGTAAGATTTATGGTTATGGTGGGTTGAAAAAAATTATTTTTCCATCTAGGTAAACCCAGCCAGGAAACACATGGACATATCTCTTTTGAAGTGTCATGGAGCACACTGTTTTTTTTTTTTTGTTTTAAGATTTTATTTATTTATTTGAGACAGAGAGAATGAGAGAGACAGAGAGCACATGAGAGGGGGGAGGGTCAGAGGGAGAAGCAGACTCCCTGCCGAGCAGGGAGCCCGATGCGGGACTCGATCCAGGGACTCCAGGATCATGACCTGAGCCGAAGGCAGTCGCTTAACCAACTGAGCCACCCAGGCACCCCATGATTTTATTTATTTAAGAGAGAGAGAGCATGAGAAGGGGGAGGGTCAGAGGGAGAAGCAGACTCCCCGCCGAGCAGGGAGCCCGATGCGGGACTCGATCCCGGGACTCCAGGATCATGACCTGAGCCGAAGGCAGCCGCTTAACCAACTGAGCCACCCAGGCGCCCAGGAGCACACTGTTTTTATCATTACCCTGCCTCTCTCGATGGCACCATACTTCTTGTGTGAAGGTACTTGGCTTTAATTGCTCTGGCTGTAAATTCCAGTATCTCCTAACTGTTCTTGCAAAGTGTGACAGATACAGTTATTTCAGGGCTTCTCAGTCTTGGTACTATTGGCATCTGGGGCCAGATAGTCATTCGTTGTGGGTGCTGACCCTGTGCATTGTAGGATGTTGAACAGTATCCCTGCCTTTACCTACTAGATGCCAATAGTATCCCCCCCCCAAATAATATCTCCAGATATTACCAAATGTGCCCTGGGAAGAAAAATCACCCCAGCTGAGAAGCACTGATTTATTTGTAGATAGAATGTTGTAATGATAATACTTACCATCCAGGATAAGAGAAGTCACCACTTTTGAACTTGAAAATTATGGAAACCTTCTAGCACTATCCTGGGTAAATTAAATGCTTTTGTGTTTTTGTATACAGTGATAGACAAACATTCAGAAATAAACTCTTGAATGACCACCTATATCTCTAATATGAGTACCCTGAATAAGCAGAAGATCAGTAGATATAAATCAAGAGGAAAAATATGGTACATTTGCAAAACATGGTCATTTCTCTTAAGGAAGAATATTCTACAACAGTTAGATAAAACTTAAATTTCTGCTGTTAGACCCTAAGTTTCACCTGAGTGGTGATTCCTTTAGTGAGCTCACAGTATTCATTTGTGACCTCTGAGCCTATTCACACTTGTTAAGCGGCAGGAACTATGCTTTTGTTTATGGCTTAAATGATATGTTAAGCTTAGCATCAAAAGCAGGGTCATTCTAGGAACCAGTATGGTGTATTAGAAGGAGTAAACTGACCCTTACCAACCACTGTGACTTTGGGCAACCCCCTCAACCTCTCTGAGCCTCATTTTCCTTATTTGTAAAGGAAAATAAAGTAATATCTACCCTGCCTTCCTCTCAATGCTGATGATCCATTGTAATAATTTATATGAAAACACGTCAACTATAATGCACTGTACAATAATAGTCATGATGAGTTTTTAAAATTTAAATTCAGTATAGTTGACATAAAGTATTTTATTAGTTTCAGGGGTAGAATTTAGTGATTCATTAGTTGCATATAATACCCAGTGCTCATTACATCAAGTTCCCTCCTTAATGCCCATCACCCAATTATCCCTTCCCCCCACCTACCTCCCCTTCGGCAACGCTCAGTTTGTTCCCATAGTAAGAGTCTCTTATGGTTGGCCTCCCTCTTTGATTTCACCTTATTTTATTTTTCTTTCCTCCCCTATGTTCATCTGTTTTATTTATTAAATTCCACATATGAGTGAAATCATATGGTATTTGTCTTTCTCATTTCGCTTAGCATAATACCCTCTAGTTCCATCCATGTCGTTGCAGATGGCAAGATTTCATTCTTTCTGATGGCTGAGTAATATTCCATTGCGTGTATATACCACATCTTCTTTATCCATTCATCTGTCGATGGACATCTGGGCTTGTTCCATATTTTGGCTATTGTGAACATTGCTGCTATGAACATTGGGGTGTAGGTGCCCCTTTAAATCACTATGTTTGTATCCTTTGGATAAATGTCTACTACTGCAATTGCTGGGTCATACAGTAGCTCTCTTTTTAACTTTTTGAGGAACCTCCATACTGTTTTCCAGAGTGGCTGCACCAGTTTGCATTCCCATCAACAGTGCAAGAAGATTCCCCTTTTTCCACCTCCTCATCAACATCTGTTGTTTCCTGGGTTGTTAATTTTAGCTATTCTGAACAATTTTAGTCATGATGCGTATTTTTTTTGCAATAGTGCAAGAAAGAATAAGTGAGATAGAAGGAGAAGTGGATATAGAGAATTCCTCATCTTAAAGAGAAACGGAAGATCCCAAATAAAAATGGTCTGCAGAGGGGCACCTGGGAGGCTCAGTTGGTTAAGTGTCTGACTCTTGATTTTGGCTCTAGTCATGATCTCAGAGTTGTGAGATTGAGCCCCACTTAAGATCCTCTCTCCTGCTCCCTCTGCCCCTATCCCTGCTCTCTCCCTCTCTAAAAAACAAAAAAAAAAAGATCTGTAGATCAATAACCTTAGAGAACCAGTACTTTTAAGAGCTCATATCTACTTCACAGCCATTTGGATGGTTATTTAAAAAAACCCAGAAAATCCAAAGTGTTGACAATTATAGGGAGAAATCTGAGCTCTTCTGCATTGCTGGTGGGAATGGCATTGGTACCGCTGCTCTGGAAAATGGTATGATGGCTCCTCAAAAAATTAAATGTAGAATTACCTTATGATCCAGCAATTCCATTTCCAGGTATATACCCAAAAGAAATGAAAGCAGGGTCTCAAACAGATATTTGTACACCCATGTTCCTAGTAGCATTATTCACAATAGCCAAGAGGTGGAAGCAACCCAAGTGCCCATTGTTGGATGAATGGATAAACAGAATGGGATCTATACATACAACCCAGTATTATTCAGCCTTCAAAAGGATGGGAATCGTGACACCTGCTATAATGTGGATGAAGCCTGGAGGTCATCATGCTAAGTGACATAAGCCAGTCACAAAAGGACAGATAATGTATGATTCCACTTATATGAGGTTCCTAGAGTAGTCACATTCACAGAGACCAAGAGTAGAATGGTGCTTGCTAGGAGCCAGGGGGAGGGGAAATGTATTTAATGGCTCCAGTTTCCACCAGGGAAGAGGAAAATGTTCTGGAGATGGAAGAATGTGATGGTTGCACAACAGTGTGAGTGTACTTCACACCGCAGAATTGTACACTTCAAAAGGGCTAAAATGCTAACTCTTATCTTATGTAGATTTATCATATATTTTATATTTAAAAAGAAGCTAGGGACACCTGGGTGGCTCAGTCGGTTAAGCGTCTGCCTTCAGCTCAGGTCATGATCCCAGGGTCCTGGGATCGAGTCCCGCATCGGGCTCCCCGTTGCGCAGGGAGCCTGCTTCTCCCTCTGCCTTTCTCTCTCTCTATCTCTCATGAATAAATAAATCTTTAAAAAAAAAAAAAGAAGCTATATTCAAGAGAATATACACCCTTTGATTCTTTTTTTTCCAGCTACTTTTATTTTTATTTTTTTGTTATGTTAATCACCATACATTACATCATTAGTTTTTGATGTAGTGTTCCATGATTTATTGTTTGTGCATAACACCCAGTGCTCCATGCAGAATGTGCCCTCCTTAATACCCATCACTGGGCTAACACATCCCCCCACTCCCCTCCCCTCTAGAACCCTCAGTTTGTTTCTCAGAGTCCATAGTCTCTCATGGTTCATCTCCCCCTCCGATTTCCTCCCTTCATTTTTTCCTTCCTACCATCTTCTTTTTTTTTTTTTTTTTTTAACATATATGAATTGTGTAAGACTGTTGAATCACAGACCTGTCCCTCTGAAATACCCTTTGGTTCTTTAAAGCACTGTAGATGCGCACAGAGGCAGGTGCAAGAGAATTTCCACAAGAATTCCCTTTACATCTACTCTAGGGGGATAAAAAGCAGCAAAGTGTCTATTAGGGGAGGCAAGTTCTGGCAGTTAGACCAGAGACAGTTAAACTGTGATCAAATGGGACCACTGGATTGAGAATTTAGATTGTAAATGGAAAGATGAAAGTCTCACCTTGACTCCATGTCATCACGACTCGAGCAATCTTTGGTTTCAGCCAAGTAGAAGCAGGATTCTGGGGTTAGGAATGGACACGGAAAGTCCTCTCCACAGAGCCCTCCACGGGTGTCAATGCCGGACAATCGAACAGCCTGCACGGACAGTCCAAATAATTCCTGTGTGGACTCCTCCTTTTACGTCATGTGTGTTTTAGGAAAGTGGTGTCGCTCTTCTAAAGCAGTGCATCGTTCCTATTGCAGGGCGACAGAGGGGACCCAGGACCTCCTGGCTTGCCGGTAAGTCTCCCAAGCAGGCCCTGTGCTTCTCTTTGCTCCTCGGTCAGCCTGTGGTCCGCACTGTTTGCATCCTAGCAGGACCAGCTGCATCATTTACAGAGCACACCGGTGCAAAATCAAAGGGTAGATCTCTTGCTCAAAAATTATTAAGAATTTCAAGGTAGTGCCAGAAGAGCATTAAATCAGGCATGAGCCCCTATGTGGCCACACAGGTCCCAGGCCCGTGGAACTGTCCTGGAGTCTCAGCAAGCTTCTACTTACCTTCCTCTTCTGTCTTTTAATGATCATTTGTCATTATTCGGGGACATACAGTCTCTTAATATTTGGGAAGCTAAGGTTCCCTCAAGTCTACCTAAATAATACAGGTCAAGTAGAAATGATTTTCTCTGTACTATTCTGCCTGCTGAATCAGTAAGTGTGTGTTGCATTTAATTTTTTGCTTCATCTTTATCTCCCTGAAATTTGTAATTCAGTGATTATATTAGTGTTTGCAATTAATGAACCAGTGTTCACAAGATTAAAATTGAAAGTAGTTTGCCTCCAAACTGATTAATATATATAATTTTTGCTTGGTAACTTCTGGCTGTAGACAGGATTACTCTCCCACATTACTTTCCTCGCTATCCCTGAAGCGAGGGTAATCGATGTAATCGATGAGATACTTTCGTGTCACTGTTAAAATAAATACCAATTCATCCTCCTAGAGAGAGTAATTTCTTGCATACTCGCAAATTATTTGATGTGGGCAGGTTTGGCGGGAGAACAGAGAGCCTCTCTCCACACTTCTAGGAACGCACAGCTATAACCCCTCCTTGTGAATTTGTGTGGAATTATGCTACAACCTATGTGTTACAGAAAGTGGTGGCTGAATTGGGGCATTAATCTTGAATTGGGGGCATTTCTGTTCACATTAATCTGATGCGACATCTTTTAAAAACATAACGAAGAGTATAAATACATTCGTATTTTAAAATCAATTATTAATTAATATGAATATTTTAAAAAACATCCTGATGTATGTCAAAGTTGTAACATTTATGCAATTTAGGAATAGCTGGTAACAAGTTTTCTTTGTGCTCTACTTTTGCTATTACAAGATTTATTTGCAAACAAGTAGATTGATTTCTCGGTCTTAATTCAATCCTAAACATAGGAGTTGGTCACACCTGCCGGAGTGCTGCTATCATGGACCTTTTAATGGCCGTGTCAACTGCGGTGAAGGTGCTCCTGCTACAGGGCAGGTGTGTCTGTGACCGTGATTTCTTTGGAGGTTTTTATCCACTTGGGATTCCACGTAGGTTTTGCTGTGAACGATGAGTTTGAGTTTTGGTAACCAATGCACTGACTGTTCTCATGTTTAGGGATTGAGGGGGGCAAGAGGACCGGCGGGCCCAATGGGACATCCGGGAGAGCCCGGGTTAGCCGTAAGTAGAGCACTGCTCGTTCTGTCCCTCTAAAAACCTGGCCTGGATGTTTAAATTAAACAAACAAACAAACAAAAAAGGCAAATTGCAGCCATGGGTGGGGCGCAGGTGGGTCATTTGAGAGGTTATCACTGATGAATCCACGTACACCCCCCATCACCAGGGTGAGTTTATCGTGAAGCATGGGTCCCCAGGGCAACAAGGAGCCCAGCTGTGAGGGGCAGTCCAGCAGGCATGTCTTAAAATTCAGGGTTTCCTAAAGAGGAACTTGGGGCAACCAACGCTGACACATTGTGATTTCTGTGACTGATAAATTGATTTGTGCATTTTTGCCCTTGATTTAGGGTGCTCCAGGCCATCCTGGGAGACCGGGCTTGAAGGTGGGTGGTCATGAGTAACATGCAACAAATAGAGACTGTCCGTGTCCAATGAGCTAAGTGACCGCTGAGCTCTGTCTGAATTATGTCTTTCCCTTAGTAGACTTCCCCAAATACTTTGTAAACTTCAATTAATTGCTTAACCAGAGTCTTACTTGTTTATAATTACCTTTTTAATATTCAAAAGCAATTACATTTTTTTTTTCCTTTTGTTTCCCAGGGTAATCCTGGCGTGGGAGTCAAGGGGCAAATGGGAGACCCGGTAAGAATCCCCTTTCACCCGGAGGAGCAGGGGCTAAAATGCATGAGCTGCCCAGGTGGCAGAGGCTGTTTTGATTATCACTTAAATTGTGTTCATTATCCAGTCGCTGCCCAATTTTATGGCCGAGAATTTTTTTGCTGAATTATTATGGCGCCATTACCCTTGACCGTAAAATGAGTGTTCTGACAAAATTTAACACTAAATTCAAGTTAATGTATATGACGCATTTTACCCTAGCAAAAAGAGATTGAACATTTCTGATAATTTAGTATATCGCAGGGACAGTTTGTTTAATTACTGGTTTGTGTGGCTTAATTTCACAAATTTCCTCAGAATCCTAAACTCCGCCCATAAATAAAAGTATAAATACCTGCAAACAGTTTGTTTAATTACTGGTTTGTGTGGCTTAATTTCACAAATTTCCTCAGAATCCTAAACTCTGCCCATAAATAAAAGTATAAATACCTGCAAACAAAAGCATTTAGCGATAGTCTCCCACTCCCTCCCACCTCACACCCATCCTCACCGTCCCTTCCCTCCCTCCCTCACACCCACAGTCCTTTCTGCTGAGGCAGGAAACTTAGCAAAGATAAGCTTTAGAGAGGTATTTTAAGATGGCAGCTCATCTGCAAACAATCTGAATGGCTACCGATTGGCAAGTGGCTCATGCCACAACTGTGGGCAAGGAGATATTGAACGTCTACTCTGTGCCAAGCCAGGACTGGTGCTGGATGTGGGGAGTTAGTAAGACAGACCTGATCCCACTTGCGTGGAGTCCCAGTGCGGTTGGGTAAGTTATGGTACAGCCGTTGAACAAAATGACTCGATTGCCTGAAATATATTGGAAGACGTCACGATGTGCAGATGTGCCTATGGTATAATGTTGATCAGAAAGCACAGGTTACAAAAGTAGAAGCTCAATTTTGTAAAAACAACACGAGACATTAAAATAGACACTTAGAGGGGCGCCTGGGTGGCTCAGTCGTTAAGCGTCTGCCTTCGGCTCAGGTCGTGATCTCAGGATCCTGGGATCGAGCCCCGCATCGGGCTCCCTGCTCGGCGGGAAGCCTGCTTCTCCCTCTCCCACTCCTCCTGCTTGTGTTCCCTCTCTCGCTGTGTCTTTCTCTCTGTCAAATGAATAAATAAAATCTTTAAAAAAAAAAAATAGACACTTAGAGCAGGATTTTACAACGTCGACACTGCTATTTCCTTGTTGTGGAGGCTGTCCTGTGCATTGTAGGGTAGGACAGTTAGCTGCATCCCTGGCTTCTACCCACTAGATGCCTGAAACAGCCCTTCCTCCCCAGGGGTGACAACATAAAATGTGTCACGACCTTGCCAGATGTCCCTGGGGGGAGTAGTATGTCCAGTTGCTTACCCCCTCACCTTAAAAACCACTGACTTAGAGAAATGACTGAAAGGAAACACACTACAACAAGGTTTTTCAGACTTGGGAAGTCGTGGACCCCTGAGAATGTGCTTGTCGAAGCCCCAGAGGCTCATGCAGCCCAGCTTGAGACTCTCCGCCTTGTGGAGCGAGGCAGGCTATGCTGGTTTTGGGACCTCAGCACCAGTGCAATCAGATGCTGTCGCAAATTCAGGCCATAGAATCATGTGGAAATGTTTGGCTATGAGGCGGCCATTCAGATGATACAAAATAGGCTTATTTTCATTCTTTTGGATTATCTGCTAAAGGAAGACATCATTTTGAAATTTTGATGCAGGACTCTCAGATGGGCAAGAACATGTTTGCCCACGAAACGCTACCCCAAGCGGTTGCTGCTGGTTTGTCCTAGGTGATGCGATTATGGGTCGTCTACATTTTGTTCTTCATGATTTATGTTCCTTGCACTTCTGATTAAATGAATGTCTGGTACTTTTTCAATGTGAAAAATAGTGGCATGACCAACATTTTGAAGAGGCTCCCTTGCTTGTCAGCCGTTATGGGTTTCGGTCAGGCTCATTACAGTGGCAAGAATAAGAACGGTTGTGTTTACCAGTGCACGTTACTCACTTGTGTACGCATCGTTTAAGCGTTTGTTCAATCATTCGTTCACGTAACAGACGTCTTCACAACAGCCGTTACAACAACACTGTGTTAGGTCCTGGGGTACAGCGACAAAAAGAAGCCAGCGTCCCTAACCCGCTTCTTCTGTAGTTTCCAGGGGATAGGTAGGCATTGAAGTGCAGGCTGTCTTACTTCATTTACGCTGGAAATAGTATTCTTCTTCCCCAAATCCCACTTACCAAAAACATTAATGGCTTAATAATCATATATTTGAGAATCTTCTTTGTTCCACTCAGCGTAGTAAGTACTAAGCATTTTATGTGCATTATCTATTTAATGAAATAGAATACTTTGAAGTAGGCGGCAATATAACCCCCATTTCACGGAGAAGGAAAGTGAGATTCAGAGGAATCAAGGAAAAAAGGCTAAGAGAGATTTTAAGGAATTTGTCCGAAATAGCAGTCAGTCAGGGCCTGGTTTGCAAACCCAGGTGACCGGCTCTATCACCTGCTCTTAACTGTGTCTCAGTGCAGAATAGTAGATACAGTCCAAAAAGTAAAAAATAGTTATCTGCTAATTAAGGGTGAGAATTTATGCTTATTTATGACAAACCCAATTCAAGCGACATTTTATTCCCAAGAGAGTAACGTTTCTAATGACATAAATGACAACTTTTGGCTAATTACTTTATACAGAGAGTTTAAACATATTATTGAAAACAAATTAGAAATAACCTAAATCTGGGGCGCCTGGGTGGCTCAGTTGGTTAAGCATCTGACTCTTGATTTTGGCTCAGGTCATGATCTCAGGGTGGTGAGATCGAGCCCCATGTCAGACTCCGCACTCAGCAGGGAGTCTGCTGGAGATTCTCCCCACCCTCTGCTTGTGTGAGCACTTGCTCGCTCTCTCTCTCTAAAATAAATAAATCTTAAAAAAAAGAGATAACCTAAATCTAACCAGAGTGGAATGGCTTAATAAATGACAGCATATTCTTATGATAGGCACTAAAAATCAGGTTTTTGAAAAATTTCTAATCTAATTGGAAAATGTGCAAAAAATAGTATTATAAAAGACAAACATAAAATTATTTTAAAATTTAAAACTTTAAAAAATATAAAAATAAAAACCATACTGTGTATTTTAAATTATTTTTACATATGTTATATAGCATTCTGATTATATTTTAAATTGTATTTAACATCTCATTTGGTTACATATACATGTATATACATATGTACATTATTTGCATACATGTATGTTTATAGACACATCCACACAAGCACACACATCACAAAGATTTATACCAAAGTTTTATTTTTTATTTATTTTAAAGATTTTATTTATTTGAGAGAGAGCGAGCACAAGCAGTGGGGAGCGGCAGGCAGAGGGAGAAGCAGGCTCCCCGCTGAGCAGGGAGCCCAATGTGGGGCTCGATCCCAGGACCCTGAGATCATGACCCGAGCCAAAGGCAGACGCTTAACCAACTGAGCCACCCAGGCGCCCTATACCAAAGTTGTTTTTTTTTTTTAAAGGTTTTATTTATTTATTTGACAGAGAGAGACACAGTGAGGGAGGGAACACAAGCAGGGGGAGCGGGAGAGGGAGAAGCAGGCTTCCCGCGGAGCAGGGAGCCCGATGCGGGGCTCGATCCCAGGACCCTGGGATCATGACCTGAGCCGAAGGCAGACGCTTAACGACTGAGCCACCCAGGCACCCCTATACCAAAGTTTTAATAGAGATTCCTGACGGTAGGATTAGGAATCACTTTTGTTTTTGAAACTTATTTTTAATGATAAATATCATTACTTATAAAAAACAATAAATACTTCAAATTACATGACGTTATTGGCCATGATTTATATTTTAAATCCATGACACACGGGATTGCATGCATTATATCATGATAAGTGAGTGAAAATCTTCACTTCAAATCTTATTTCAAAATAAAGTTAATATGAAATTCCTACTATCTTGATTTTTTTGAAAGGGTGAAGTTGGCCAGCAGGGTTCTCCTGGACCCACCTTATTGGTACAGCCACCTGATTCTTGTCTGTATAAAGGAGAAAAGGTAATTGCCAATCCATATGTTTCCTGGATAAAGTAGTAACAGCCAGCATTTCCCGAACATGCCCCTGTGCCAGCAAAGTGCTGGGCACCTGCAGGCATCGCTGCATTAATCCCAAAGCAACCTCAGCAGATTGGTACTGCTAGTAGTCCCATTGTACAGACGTGAAGAATAAGGCTTAGAAAAGTTACCCGTATTCTCAAGTTTATTCATTTGCTGAATCACAGACCTAGCGTGGGCTGCTAAACCATGACATGTCCCCCAGTGTCCCCCATTGACACTGTATTTGATATATGGGCTGAAAGGACCACACGAAGCCCAGTTGTTATTACATATGGGCTTGATGTTTTGATGATTGAAAAGGTAGCAGGTGCATAGTACTGGGCACGAAATAGACTCCTGGCGAATATCACGTCCTCTGCCAGCCTGCAGTACGGATGTTACTGATGCCACCTGAAGATTCTGTTGTCAATTTTCAGTTACTGGATTAAATTCCACTAATTTGATCAAAATGAGCCACTCCTCTCGAGGACGACATTCCCAGCTTGGATCTGCTGCCCTGGCTCCGTGGTGGTCACACCCCCTGCACCCCACAAAGCTACAGCTCTCACCCAGAGCTGGCCTGAATTGTGTCAGCTTTATAAATGCACCTGGACCTTAGTCGCTAACTAGCAACAACTGAAGAGTAATCCTTTATTTTAAAAATTAGTAAAATGTTTCTTGAAAGAGAGAATTTCTGAAAGACATGGCATTCACTATGTTAAATAATAAGAGTTAAATAATAAGAGCCTGATTATATTCAGTGTGATTTTTAGGGCATAAAAGGAATGCCTGGCATGACTGGACCTCCAGGACCACCGGGACCCAAGGTAGTTTATTAAAATACCCTTTTTTATTTGATGATACGATATCTTAATTAAAAATTTTTTTGCATGGTCTTTATCATTGCTTTAATGCTAATATATGTTACTCGAAGTTTTCACTATTTTATCCTGATTCCGTAGGGCATCTCTTCTAAGGTGGTTGTTTTCGTTAAGCTGCTGGCAAGAATTTTTATCTCTCATTTTGTGTTTGCATTCCATGTTGCTGAAATATTGTTGCTTGAACACCTCCAAATATTGTCATCTCTTTTAAGGGAGAACCTGGAATTGGGGCAAAAGGAGAGAAGGGTATCCCTGGGTTCTCAGGACCTCGGGTAAGGATCGTTCATGCCATTCAGGCTGCCCCTAACATCAGTGAGTTGGAGGCCTTCCTCTCTCACATTTTTACAAAACTAGATCTATATTTCTAACAACTCAAAAGTAGAGATTTTCTCAAATAGGAACAATACATTTTGGACAAAAATTATGTCATAGCTAAATGTCCCAACAAGACATCCCTTCCAGTGACATCATTTAGATAAAATGGGCAAGCAGAAGATAGAATTGGTGGGAAGTAACAGGATCGTGGCATTTCCTTCCACAACTGGGGCTCAGTGTCACTGTGATAGCAGCTTGGAATTGTTCATTTAAGCCTACTTGATAAAAGAGGGTACTGATCTTGGGGCATCAGGACTCAAACATCACCAAACATGCCACTAATGGGGTCACCATTGATAGGGTCACTCTAGAGGCCAGAGCCCCCATGGGCAAGGGCCCTGAGTTTATTTGGCTCCAGATTCAGTAGTTAATGGGATGACATTGGCTTCCATGGTAATTTTTTTGCTGGTAATGCACAGAGTGCCTATTAATTTCTACACAAATTATATTGCAATGATTCCAAAAATATTTAGCCCAGTGCAAGCATTAGGGTAAATAAGTTAAAACACAAGAACAACAACAACAAAAATATGTTCTTACTTTAAATCACTGGCAAGGACATGAATTTTTAAAGTAAAACTGAAGATCGGTTGAAATAGCAAATGTTAAAAAGAAACAGACTCTATTTTATATGTATTTCCTTTTATTCAGCTCCCTTTGCAGACGAGTTGAAATATCCATAAAGCAGTTTCATAAGATGAAAAATAATGCATTGAACTGGTTTCAAGCACTTGGATTTGATTCTGCTTGTGTTGATTTTTGTGAATTTATTAGGGTGATCCCGGTTCCTATGGATCTCCAGGTTTTCTGGGATTAAAGGTAAATGCACACAATTATAGAGATGATAAGTACATTTTTATTCAAAAATGCAATTCAGTGTATTCAAAAGTTGTACTAGGGCATGCAAGTACGCACACACTAATTGGAAAAAGAGACACATTTATTTTGCAAATTGAAGAATCTAGCTGTAGATGCAAAAACTAACACCCAAAACTGTCTGATACAACCCAAAACTGTCTGATACAACCCAAAAGCAGTGTTAAGATTTTGCACAGAATCTCAGTATGTGTCATTCAAATTAAACAAGAATGAGATAATTTGTCACCCAGTCAGATTTTTCTTTTAAAGGCATGTTTGTGGTTATTTGTAGGGGGAACCAGGACTATTTGGAGAGCCTGGATCATTTGGATTTCTTGGCCCAAAGGTAAAAAGGCAGGTGTATTTGAGTACAGCCTGGTAAAATTCTGTATCCCTTATGTTAACTAATTCCTTTTAAAAAATACTTGAATCATTCAAAAACATAACTTTTAAAAGAGACAGAGTTAATTGTATATGTATTATTCCAGTGCATGTTGTAATGATTATGTTTTGCATTTGAGAAAGTGTTCAACCTTTTGAAGGTGAATAGTAACAGAAGTTTCAAGAATTCCATGAGGATTATAATCAGATGGAGCAGTGGAGAGCTCCTGACTTTTTCTAGTGCATTTTTTTTGTCTTTCCTTTGTACCTCTGTGACCTCACATCCAGCATTTGCTCAGGACAAGCCATGGTGGCAGTAAGGGGACACAGTTGAGGGCGACAGTATTTGCTGTTAAAATAAGATGTAGATTCAGGTTTTATAGGTGAATAGACTATTTGTCCTAGAGTGCCAAGTTCAACGTGAATGCTCATAGGACATCTAAAGAAACTTCATGGTTTCAGAGGTATCTAATTTATGAGCACGAAATCGTTTTTTGGGAATTAATTTTTTTTTCTTTTGTGAGAGTTTTGTCAGTTGGTCATCTTCTGCTTGTAGGTGGGAGGCTGGGTGCCTTTGTTATCCCAGAACTCCATGAACCATTCATGTTTCCAGTCAGCCTATAATCTTCATTTCTTATATGAATGCACTCTTGTTCCTTCCAATAGTTATGGGCAGCATGAGAAAAATACTAATATTTCTAAGAAAAGCATATGAATGAATGATTTCAGGGGGATCCCGGAGACCGTGGGTACCCAGGACCACCAGGGGTTTTGGTAACTCCATCTCTTCCACTCAAAGGTTTGTGTTCAGTTTGGTTCCTTCATAAATTATTAGGAAATGGGATTTGGGTGCCCTGACAGAAGAGTCTGGCCCAGTATTTCTGTACATTGCATACCTGGTATGCTAAGTACATTAATTTTAGCAAGAATATATAATTTACAGGTGCCAGTAGATAGGTGCATCTGAATCATCTCTATGGGCATACGACTCCAAATGTGATTTTAGGATGCAGAAACTGTTATCTCACCTTTACAAAAGTAGGGTTTTTTTTAATTGCTAAACCATTTGATTAAGACCTACTGAGGGGCGCCTGGGTGGCTCAGTTGGTTAAGCGACTGCCTTCGGCTCAGGTCGTGATCCTGGAGTCCCGGGATCGAGTCCCGCATCGGGCTCCCTGCTCCTTGGGAGCCTGCTTCTCCCTCTGACCCTCCCCCCTCTCATGCTCTCTCTATCTCATTCTCTCTCTCAAATAAATAAATAAAATCTTTAAAAAAAAAAAAAAAAAAGACCTACTGAGATGCTGCTTCCAAGAAAAAAGTGACCCATTTCACTGAGAGAGACAGTGCTTCCCCCAGTTCATGTGTTTGCAGAGCAGGGGCAGCTGAAGAAGGGGGTTCTAGTTTGAGATCCTGCATTTTTTTTTTAAATGTCGGGAGAAATCGCAAGAACAGTCTCTTAGTTGTGCTCAACCAAGTCTTACAAGAAGTAATTGTGTGTGGATTCTAAAATGTATGTATATAGTTATTACATTGACATGTGTTGTTGTTTTGGGCAGGCCCTCCAGGGGATCCGGGGCACCCTGGCCGCTACGGAGAAACGGGGTCTGTTGGACCACCTGGTCCTCCCGGCCCCTCCGGTCCACCAGGGGAGGACTGTGCAGGTAGAACTCCACTGGCTCTTACAGGCCAGGTTTCCTACATCCTCATCCTCAACTCTAGCTGATACTGAGATCAACTAGGAGCGTTTCAGAAAAACTCATGACTGTCCCGGCCCCCAGGCCAAGCATGTTGGGCTCTCTGGGACGTGGATCTAGGTGTCTGCTATTATAAAAGCACCTCCTATTTCTAATGGACAGCTGGACTTAAGAGCCACTGAACTCAAACCAATGAGTGGCTTCCTTGGAAGAAAGCCAGGCTCCTCAGCTGCACCTCGGGGCAGCGGGGAGGTGAGGAATATGTGTGGGTAAGAAGCATCCCGTAAGATTTTCACAGGCAGATAAGATTTGGAAATGGGTGCCAGGGTAGAATGTTTTTTCAGGTCTTAAAACCCTCTTGGAAGGCTCTCCCTGTCGACATCTGTTCGTTAAAATTGAGTTCCTCTCCTATGTGAAAGGCGCAAATCAGATTATGAATTTAAAAATGTAAAAATTAATTAAATAATTTAAAAAATGAAATGTGATTCAGCCTTAGTTAAGAAACCAAAACCAAAACCAAAGTCCTCACCTCCCCGCCCCCCCAAATCTGCACCCCCTCCAAAAACAAACAAACCAAGCAAAAACACCTTAGAACTCGTGGTAATAGTGGAGGAAGAGCCTGGGAAAGAATCCTGTTGATAGAGGACTTTGAACTCCTTCAAGTGCTGTGCTAACTGATATTCCCAAGTAAGATTAGGAATAGAAGTTTAGAGGATATTTGCATTCTGTGAACTCAGGAGAACTGATTTAACATGTGAAGAGAGAGTCTTGAATAGATACAATTTTATCCAGTCTGTGTCTCTTGTTATATTTACTGAGAAGGAGTAAGAAGTTTCCTGAGATTCATCTGTTAACTACCAAGTTCTTTAACTATCCCCGATTCCAGCTTCCACTTTGTGGGATCTGATAACCCACTACAAAGGGGGGCAAAGCTTTGTTTAGTTGACTTAACTGTAGATACTGTGGCCTTGGCTTAATTGACCAAGGACTATAAAAGTCATAGAGAGAGTACTCAGCTGGTCAGGAATCATTAGCACCTGGTCTTAGATATCTCCTTTCGGGCTTGTTCATAATAAAATAGGGGTTCCAACAGATTGAAATAAAAACCCAGTGGGAGTAAGCAACACATATCTCTAGCGGACTGAAAACCGAATGTAATAGAAAGACTTACTTCCACAAGATTTTTAAAAAGAACTAACCTAGTGGCTTTCAGATTTTGACTACAATCCATTATAAAAAATACATTTTATATTATATTGCATTTATATTGCATTGCGCACATATACGTGTGTCCACATACACATACGATTAAAATACAAATTTCAAAAGAAAAAAAGAAACACAAATTTCACAAAATAATACCTTTTTGTGTATGACATATTATATTTTCTGTGCCACTTTTTTCTTTTGAAAAAAAATTTTTAATGCTGGCCACAACTTAATTGATTTCATGGGTGGTCAGGGCTGCTCTATGCCAGACACTGTAACCCATTTTCCCTGTTGAAAGGTGGTTGAGGATTTTCCATGGCACCGGGACAAGATACCAGGTAGCATCCAGGTCCATCCAATGACCGTAGGGGTTTGGAGACAGGTCTTAGGAATGACATGAAGACAAGATGGCAGCCAAGTCCACAGGAGCACATTTCATTTAAGTACACCAATGTCTATAGCCTTTATTATACATATTTTATAATCATCTAAAGTATTTACCATGAGATAAGCAGGAGTTTGGAGTTAGATACCTGTGACTGAATCCCAGCCTTGCCCCACTTCATGTAGTATACTGAAATAGATATGCATTTACACTATGGACTAAAAACATTCCATGTTCTACTACATACAAACTGTGTGATCTTGGGCATTTACTAAACCTCTCTGTGCCTCAGTTTTCTCATCCTCAGAGGGCAGTTCTCGTTAGGGTTGAAAGAAGTAATATGTATACAGTTCTTAGAATGTTAGCTATTATTATTACTCATGTGTGGCCTAAATTTTCTGTGTCTTATCTATAAGGTACAAACTTTTTGCAAGGTTGTTTGAGGAGTAAGGATAACGTTTGAAAGTGTATGTAAGGACCCAGCACATGCACACAATAATGAATGCTGCTAATTTGGCTAGAGTGCCACTTACTGATTACTGACAGGGTTTCAGTTGTCTATTGCTGAAAAAACTACCCAAACCTTAGTGGCTTAAAACAACAACCAGCTTATTACCCCTCACTCTGTGGTTCAAGAGTTCAGGAAGGGCTAAGCTGACCAATTCTAGATAGAGATGTTCCTATGGTGGCAGCCACGTAATGGCCGGAACCAGAACGTGAGGACTGGCTGGGCATCTCTGTCCTCTACCTTTCGTGTAGTCTCATGGCCTCTCCATCCTGCTCTGTACTTATTTAGGCGTCCTTATAGCATGGTGGCTTTAGAGCAGTGATATTGCTTCCATGGTGGCTCAGGCCTGCAATCCCAAGCATTTCGGCTCACAAGACAGAAGCTGAATCATCTTTAATGACCTAACCTTGACCTTATATATATAGTGTCACTCTTGTTGAACTTCATTAGTCCAAACAATCACGAAAAGCTGTCACATTCAAGGGGAAGGGGACATGTCACCTTTTGCTAGGAGAGCGTCAAGCTCCTACAACAGTGTGAGGGAGAAGAGCTACTATGGTGGCCATCTTTGAAAACTACAGTCTTCCCCTGGGAGATTCATGCTCAGGAAGAAGGAGCTGTGAGAAGTGGTCACTCTCATAGGAAGGCTTCGAGCTGTCTTTAGCCAAAGTCCCCAGCAAGGGGGTTGGATGCCACAGGAAAGCAGGATTTAGCTTTGACGCACTCTGACCTCTGAACACACTGAGCATCTCAGCATTCCTTGAGCATGTGCAATTACCAGCTATTGCACTAAGGTCCTTACGTGAATTATTTTATTTATTCCTCATAACAAGCCTCTGAGGTAAATACAGATGGTTAGAGAAGTTCAGTAACTTACTTAAGTACATGTGGCTGGAGAGACAGAGGCTGGGTTCAAATCCAGCGCCTCTCTGCCTCCCCACCAACCTAGGTTGCTATGAAAGGTACGGTATTCTATGTCTCACATAGATGATACATGAGTCTGTATTTTTATTTACTACATGTGCTAATATGTTCATTCAGGATTATTTTTAACCAAATTATCAAAGTGGAAAGATTGAAAAATAGTATTTTTAATTAAATAATATGTATTTTCCCCCAATAACCCTAAATAATAGGGGAAAAGTAAGAAAATCTGATTCCTCAAACCTGTTTCCATTTGTGTGCTTATTTCAAAGAAGGTAAGGTATTTTTATGGCTGGGATATTAAGTCATTTTGAAGTACTTTTTTTTTCCCCTTTAAAAGTATTTACAGCCTAAGGAAGAATGTACTGATTTTCATTTCTTCTAAACAAGAGTTTACTCTGAGAGATATATGTGGTTTTAATTCTTGATTTCTCTTGGAGGCGTGATGGGACCTCCTGGGCCAAGAGGGCTTCCTGGTCATCCGGGATTTCCAGGGGCAGCTGGTATCCCTGGGAGAGCTGAATCCAGTCCAGGAAAGCCAGGGAACCCGGGACCACCCGGGTTGCCAGGAGCCCCAGGGCTGCAGGGACCTCCGGGATCAGATGGTAAAGTGCTCCTCGTTCACATTCATTGGCATTTATGTTGCATGTGATATTTGCAGTGTCATGCAGAAAATGTGACTTTCTAAATATTTTTAAAAATTATCTAATATTTCATGAGCCAAGTTAGTATTATTAATAATACTAAAAAGTAGACTGATGTTAGATATCACATCAGCTACAGCATATGAAAATATTTGGTTGAACATTTAAGTGTGAATTATGAAATTTTGTAAGTGAATATGATTTTTATTTTTTAAGTGTAGTTTTAATTTTTATCAGAGGTACAGATGGACTGCTTGAGAATCAAACAGTTCTATGAAGCCTGTTATGAAGAACTGCCATCCCAGGCAACCCTTCTCCTGTTCCTTCCTCCCCAGGGGACATTATTTTCACACAAGTAGTTGGATTTTCTGTTATTTGACTTTCTAGTGACCTTCAATGTACTTGTATTGCTATTTCTTAATTTTTTTGGGGGGGGGCAGAGGGCGAAAGAGAGAATCCTAAGCAGGTTCCGTGCCCAGAATGGAGCCCCATGTGGGGCTCAATGTCATGACCCTGAGATCCTGACCTGAGTCGAAATCAAGAGTCAGTTGCTTAACCAACGGAGCCTCCCAGGTGCCCCACTATTTTTTTCATTCTTGAGTTTGAGCCTAATCTTTTGACTTCCTTCCATAGAAGATGATCAGATCATCTGATCCCGGAGGTCCCTGTAGCCCTGGGGCTCTGGGCAACCCAGGTGGTGACTAACAACATATAAAATAAAATTTAAAAAATAAAATAATAAAATAAAATAAAAATTTCTTCAAGTGTTTCTCTGAAGATACTTCATATCTTCAGTTTTCTCCTTCTGGACTCTATACATTTGCCTGTTAGAGAATCCACCCTATGTGTCTCTTTCTCTCATCCTTATTCTTCTTCACCTTTATATTTTTCTGTAACACTTTCTAGTAGACTTCCCCAACTCCCTCTTACAACTCTGCTCCAGAATTTTTCAATTTCTGCTTTGACAATAATTTTTTTTAATTTCTAAGGGTTTTGTTGTTGCTATTGTTTTAATGTTTTCTTTTGTAGCCATCTGTTCATGTTTTAGGGATGAAATGCCCTCTTTCATCTACTTTTTAAATTTTATAGTTTACTTCAAAGTTTTCTTCTTGCTATGTTGTCGGTTACCTCCAGTTCTGAGGGGTCACGGTTACTGCTGTAATTTTTGAGAAGGAGATCTTAAGATTGAACTGTTTCTTTAACCAGTCATTCGGATTGAGGCATCACTGTTATTCTACTTCAAGGTACCAATTCCTGGGGCACCTGGGTGGCTCAGTCAGTTAAGTATCCAACTCTTGATTTCAGCTCAGGTCATGATCTCAGGGTCATGAGATTGAACCCTGCATCGGGCTCTGTGCGGGGCATGGAGTCTCCTGAAGATTCTCTCTCTCCCTTTCTCTCTGCTCCTCCCTCCCCTGCTCCCATGCACATGCTCTCTTTCTCTCTCTTTCAAAAAAAAGGGTACCAATTCCTGAAGTCTGGGAGAGATTTCTCATGTAAATTGTGCTCTTTTTTGCCTTTCCCCACAGCCTGCTTAGATGTCAGCTTTTCAGGGTCTGCTAGGTTCTCTCATATTTTTTTGCTGTTGTTTTCTTTGTCCTGCAGGCTTATGCATTTTTATAATATTCCTGTACTATTTGCTATGTTACTGGGATTTGGGAAGGATAAGGAATTTATTGTTTGTGTTTAATGTCACCTTTAATCAGATGTCTCTAGATTTATATTTTTATGAGCTATGTGTTATGCTTTCTTTAATTTGGTAATTATTCATAATTGGAGGAGAAAAAGATCCTTGTCATACAGTTATTTTGTTTGTTTTGTTGGTTGTTGGTTTGGTTTGGTTTGTTTGTTTTGTTGTCCGTTGCCTTGCTCTGCCACCCACTAAGTTGGGATTGAGAGTAGGATCTCTCTCTATCAGAGAGAAAGAATCATGGGGAAGGAGTGGAAACAAGGTGGGCTTGAGAGGAAGATGGGAGTGCAAGAGACACTCCCACTTGTTCTCTAGAAGACATTCACAGAGACTATGTGATTCTCTCGCCCCCCTTCCCTACTGTAAAGTTATATATTGTAGTGTTGGACACCCTGGACCACAAGGAATAAAAGGCAAAGTGGGTCCTCCAGGAAGAAGAGGCTCAAAAGGAGAAAAAGGCAAGTATGCATCAAAGGTAGGATTTCCAGAAGACAGCAGCATATGGAGGGTTGGGGGCATTTATGATGTGAGCAATGCGCCATTTCACTTTGATGCGTTATATGCCTTATTTACCCCTATGAGCATTCCTTTTCATTATGTGCTTATGAGGTGATTAGAACTTACCAGAAGTCAAGTCCTTCTTTTCGTTTCTTTTTTAAAATTTTATTTATTTATTTCTATTTAAATTCAATTAGCCAGCATATAGTAGTATATCATTAGTTTTTGATGTAGTGATCAATGATTCATTAGTTGCATATCACAAAATCAAGTCCTTCTATCTGAGAGTCTAAAGGGGACACTTGCCTGCTGTGAAATTTGCCTCAGAGTGGTGACTTTTTTCATGAGGTCCTTTTTATTCCTTGAAAAAGCAGAGATAGGATAGTATGGATCTTTTATTTCCCTTTCTCTCTGTGGGCCCATATTTCCCAGACTCATCAAATGTCTCTGGCTTTAGGTTTCTCCACCCTAAAGGTTGTTTAATGCCTTTTTGACCATCTGAGATAGGTGGGTATGAGAGCATAAACACAGCTAAGTTCGACTATCCTAAAGGCATTTCTTTTAGACTGAAAGTCCCAATGATTAGAAAATGCATTGTAGTGAATTATCAATTATAATACGCAATGCACTCAATAGTCCTTTTTCACGTATTAGTTTATTTGTTTAGAGTTTATGCTCCAACCCATTTTTTTTTCTGTTTCTTCAGTAGAAACTAAATAAAAGATTTTCACACTTTAAAAAATAAGATCGCTTTTTTAAAGTTTCTTTGGTAGAGTTGGATATCAACTTTCCCCCTAGAGTTTGTCAGGATGGGTTTCTTAAGACCCCAAACACCCCATTTGTCTAAAAATGATATATCTGCCCCACACAGACCATGCCTAGGAGCCCTTGCACAGTGCCCCATGCCCCCACGTCACACATTATCAGAACCTTTTGTTATTTCATTTCTGGTTTTGTTTAGTAAAGGCTTTTTGGGGTTTTGTGCAGGAGATATGACAAAGCTGCCTTTTATCCTCTGTCTAGGAAACACGGGGCTCTGTGCCTGTGAGCCCGGTCCCGTGGGCCCACCAGGACCTCCGGGACTTCCTGGGAGGCAGGGTAGTAAGGGAGACTTGGGGCTCCCTGGGTGGCTTGGAGAGAAAGGTCACCCAGGCCCTCCTGGAGCTGAAGGATCTCCAGGACCACCAGTGAGTAGCTCTTATCAGTAACAAACTTTCTAGTTGGAAGAGACAGATAGAGATAAAATTCAACTGACCTTCTTTCTGATGTATGGTATGATATATATATTTTATGTCTTGAACCTATATATATATGTATATTAATGACCCAAAAAATCATCTATATTCATTCATTCATCAAACTAATATTTATTGAACACCTACTATGTTCCAGGTGCCGTTCTAGGTGCTGGGGATACAATAAGGAGCAGAACACAGTCTCTGCCCTCCTGGGGACTCCAGGGGTTGGGTGGAGACACACTATGTAACAAATAGATGAGTGTTTATGGATGATGATGATAAAGGCCATCACCATCTAGTGTGGCTTGAGGGGCAGAGCTGGAGGAGATGAACTCAGGGGAGTGGCTGGAGGTTAGGAGGGGCTGTGGAGCACGGGGTTTGGTAGGTGGGTTGGATTTGAGCTTTTGCTCTGGATGGCATGGAACAGACAGTGGAAAGTTTTAAGAAGAGAGAGACATAATCTGACATTAGCTTCAAATGGATCACTCTGATAGCGCTGGTAAGAACAGATCACAGGGGACAAGGGAAGAAGTGGGGAGATGAGCTGGATGATGATTACAGTAATCTTGGTGAAATGTGATGGTAGACAGATTAACATGTTGGTGCTGGGTATGCCGAGAAGTGATCAGATTCTCAAGATGTTTTGAGGACACTGCTACTAGATGGGCTGTTAGGCTAGACACGGGATTTTAGAAGAAAAGTAAAGGCTGAGGCCCAAATGGGGAAGACAGTGTGAGGCGTCGATGTGCAATGGGGGGGAAGGAAGCAGTATTATTGGTAACGTCTTAAATTTGAGGTGCCTGTTGGGGCACCTGGGTGGCTCAGTCGTTAAGCGTCTGCCTTCTGCTCAGGTCATGATCCCAGCATCCTGGGATCGAGCCCCGCATCAGGCTCTCTGCTCGGCGGGAGGCCTGCTTCTCCCTCTCCCACTCCCCCTGCTTGTGTTCCCTCTTTCGCTGTGTTTCTCTCTGTCAAATAAATAAAATCTTTAAAAAAAAAAAAATTGAGGTGCCTGTTAGACCAGTCAAGGTGTTGAGTAGGTAGTGAGATGATATTCAAGTAAGGGATTCAGATGAGAGGTCCAAACTCGAGATACAAACACTGGCTTTGCCAGGTTTTTCGTGATATTTCGTGCACAGAGTAGATGGATCTGTTTTGAAATGGTTCGCATCCGCTGACCGTTATAAGTGACTCGAGTTGAGGAACAACCTTTCAGCTACTTGGCTGCTCAGAACAAAGTCACTGCCCCATAGGACACTCCTCTGAAGGCTAGACACTGCCCACCTGACCCATCGTTATTGAAGAGCCTTCATCCCGGGATGACCTGGAGCCTAACCATCAGCCCCAATGTGCTCTTTTCCATTTTCCCCAGGGAATGCCATGAAAATAGGGCTCCAGTCTGAAAGCCTTAAGTGGGGGTGACAGTTAGGCTCTCCTTGTACCACCCTTGACACCCATGCAAAGCACCCTGGCAAAGTCCACTCAGCAAGAAGCTAATTCCTTAATGCATGTTGAATGAACATGGCTGCAGCTGTTAAGTACTTTGTATTTTATTGCTGCTTTTTTAATTCAATATTTTAGCATAGTCATTTTTTTATGTTGGTACTTAATCTTCTTAATGAAGAGTATACTGGCTCTAAAATATTTCTGTGGCTTCCTCTTGAGTTGCTTCTCAGGGCTAACATCTTTTAGTGTGAATGACTAGTTCATCCAGGGTTGTCCTGGCTGAGCTTTCTGCAATTCATTTGCTCTAGGGCTCACCTCTTTGGGGAGGTTCTATTTCTAACGTCCTTTTTCTGTGTCTAATTCTGTCCATACGACTTCTCTGCATTAAATTCATCACAGGGTGGTCATAGTGAGGGACTAGGTCCATAGCATGGGCACCATGAAAGGAAAAATGGTGGAGGGAGAAGAATGGGTAGAAGGAGAGAGCACAGAGGAGCCATGGGTGATCATTGTGGGTGCTCTCACTTCCCCTGACATGTCCTCTCTCAGCATCTGGTCCCTGGCCTCAGCAGCCACAGATGGGTAGGAGAGTAGAAAAAAGAAAAGTAGGTTTAGATTCTTTGCAATTTTTTCTGTGGTTAGACCAGTGCTTTGTATTTATCACCATAGTCTGAGGATGGGGGTTTCCCACCAAGATGCTATAGTGCAAAGCACGGGGCCATAGGGGCACGTGGACCCACCTTCACATCCCAACTATGACATTGGTGAGCTCTACGGTCTTCTTGAGCTTAGTGCCTCATTTATAATATGGATATAATGACACCTGTCTTACAGGTTTCTTGGTAAGGATTCAATTCAGCAGTATATTTTGAGGACTGTAAGGTATACACACCAGTGAACAACCAGGGTCAGTGCCCCCAGTGAGTTGCAGAGCAAACCAAAGGTCACCAACTGACATGGGCTAAATCTGATCCACTGGCATGTTGATTTTGCCTCCATGGTGTTTGTTTTTGTATTATTAATAAGATTTATGGCTACCCTTGAGAGATTGGAAGTTCATTAACACAGGGTCAGTGCATTCCTACAGTTTCCAGGAGCTGAGAGGTGGCCATGCCTGTGGGAGTAGGGCTGGGTGCTCATGTCCCCACGCAGTCCGTCCATCTGCTTCCTTTGGTAGGCATGGCCCCTCAGCCTCTGTGGCTAAAGTCCCTAATGTAGACCATGTTTTAAACAACCAGTACATGCCTGGCAGAGAGGGGTTCTTTGATTGCTGCTGAGATGTTGTGGTTGTATTAACACATGTATTTAGTGATCTCAGATCTTAGAACAGTGACAGGTAGCTCTTGATCCCACAGCTGCTGGGAACCTTTGGCCCAAGAATCTTTTAGATTCAACATTTGTTTCACTAAGAATCTAAGCGCCATGAAGGCAAGATGGTCTGCTGTTATCTGTTGTGTCCTTGTAATGTGTATTATTGAATATTAATCCATGTCAAAAACCTGGAAACCTACCATTTGCTTTGCACGGGTGTCAAGGGTGGTACAAGGAGAGCCTAACTGTCACCCTCACTTAAGGCTTTCAGCCTGGAGCCCTATTTTCATGGCATTCCCTGGGGAAAATGGAAAAGAGCACATTGGGGCTGATGGTTAGGCTCCAGGTCATCCCGGGATGAAGGCTCTTCAATAACGATGGGACAGGTGGGCAGTGTCTAGCCTTCAGAGGAGTGTCCTATGGGGCAGTGACTTTGTTCTGAGCAGCCAAGTAGCTGAAAGGTTGTTCCTCAACTCGAGTCACTTATAACGGTCAGCGGATGCGAACCATTTCAAAACAGATCCATCTACTCTGTGCACGAAATATCACGAAAAACCTGGCAAAGCCAGTGTTTGTATCTCGAGTTTGGACCTCTCATCTGAATCCCTTACCTGCCATTATCTGTTGTGTCCAAGTAAAGCCTGACACTTTAGGTTCTCAGTAAATGTCTCTTTAGTGAATTCCAAAACAAGTGCTGGCTATCACTTTTTTTCCTTACTAGCTCACCTAAGTCTGTGATCTGACTCTAGTGCTTAAAATTCTGTATCTGCAGAGCATTAGAGCAATTGAGAGTACATTCTAAATCTCCGACGTGCTAACTAACAAACTGCTCAGACTCCCAGGAGCACTCCACCGGCATTGGCCTTCTGGAGCGGACTTGGTTCACAAGCTCAGTGAATGGTTTTATGTGTTGATAGTTTATCAGAAGGACATTATCATTATCTGCCTCTTGGACTGAATACTGTATCTCTATACTTTGGCCCTGTCTGGTTGTCACTTACGACATAGCATATACAGGAAAATTAAGAATTAAAGCAACATTCAACCCATATTAGCACGTTATAATTTCTAAAGTTCCTTTCCTGTCTAATCCAGCTATTTCTACTTGGAAATTTGTTCCACCCACCTTTTTGGTGCCTCATAAACATTCTTACACAGTATGCTATACTATAGTGATGCTTCTGGGGGCTTCGAGGGGGTACGTGGAAATGCTTTTTCTCTACATCAAATGGCTCCCACACATTTTTGCCATTTGGGTTTTTAAGCCTGTTGCGTAGAGTTTTGGCTTCTTCTTCATTCTTACTGCTTAATACTGCCATTATGCTTATCTCTACTGGCACCTTCTTCTCTTTGTAGTTAACTGCTTGTAAAGTGCCCGTCAAGAAGGTAATTAAGCTTGCATGAACATGTTGTTAGACTGTATGAAAATAAGACAAGGTGGCATCTCTGTGAGAGAAGAATTGTTTGCTCAGTCATTTTCACCTCCGTCTAAATTCTTGATTTAGAGTTTCTTGATTTTTGAGATCATGGGATGAGTAACCTTAAGCTATGTATGGTGTTCCTGTAGCTGTGTTTACTATGATGCTTGGCCACTCTAATATACTGATGGTAGGTTTCCAGGTTTTTGACATGGATTAATATTTAATAATACATAATGCTTATAAAAACCATGACCCAAATAGTCAAGTCTCAGAGCAATGTTGAGGTCAAAAGATGATGAGCCCATTGGCCAAAATTAGCTGTTTACTTGCTATAGAGAGGAAATATATGAACTATAACAAAGGTTCTTATTTTCCCTCCTCTTGCTCATCAACTTCCCGCAATATCACACACTTGTTGCTAAACCTCTCCCTTCAGCTTTAGTGGCAGCTCTTGTGGTTAACCTACCCTCCTCCTCTTTCCTCTACACTCTACATTAAAATGCCCAAGATAGTTAAAGATTTTATTTTGAGATAAATTTCATTTTTGACCCAAAGAGGTTGCACAATCATGCAGAGAGTTCCCATGGACCCTTCATTCAGCTTCCCCCATGATAGCATACGTAACCATAGTAACTGCCCATACCAGGGAATTGATATTGGTATACATTTCTGTTGAATCTGGTACAGACCTTTTCCAGAATCCACAAACTTTTAAATGTAGATCAAGAGCCTCCGTTTTGTAAGGTAGGACCCATGTTAGAGGGCAAGGAAGAGAATGATACTAAGAGTACCAAACCAGAATCTAGAACAGGTGATTTAGAAGGAAAGAAGAGAGAGATTAGATGTACATGAATAACTTTTACCTCATCAAAATTAAACTGATGTGTTCCTCTTATTTTCACCAAGGGGAAACATGGTGCCTCGGGACCACCTGGCAGCAAAGGAGAAAAGGGTGACATGGTTGTATCAAGAGTGAAAGGTGAGCCTAGTCAATCACGTAGCTCCCTGCCATTCAATGAATGATACAGGAACCATCCTCTTGCATTCATTTCCCTTGTGACCACAGATCAGTTCTCTAAGAAGATTCAGGATTGTTGAGATTGCTTAAAATATATTCCTTGCCCCTCCCATTTCTTGTGAGAATGTTGAGCCTCAAATCCTCTATCCCTTATTTGAAAACATAAAAAACATATTCGAGTCCTCCTTATTGTGAATCTGGGTTTGACACAAGACCACCTTTGACTTGCCTACTGTTTATCCAGTGCATTAGAGCATCCTGTATTAATCAAGACTATTTTGGTCAAGACAGAAACCCAGCTTGAAGTCATTTTAGAGAAAGAAAGTAATTTATTGACTCACCCAAACAAAATTTGAAGCAATAGATGTAGGGTTCGCACTGGTACGGCTGGATCCAGGAGATTTCTTCCTGCATTTTGCATCTTTCATTACACCATCTGCATTTCTCCCCAAGACTAGCTTTCCTGGGCTGTGGGTATGCTGCCCTTCCTGCCAAAAGCTCCAAGTTGTTACAAAAAGAAAGAGAGCTCTACCTTCTCAGTTCTAGTTTGAAAAAAAAAAATCAAGAAGAAGTGGACTAGGCTGGGGGCAGTGCACAACCACAGACTGCCCCACCCCCATTCACCACTGCCAGGGGATGGGGCACCATATTTGGTGCCATACAAGCAGGGACAGATGCTGTTGTGACTGGTGCCTCCCCACACAGCCTCCCTGGCAAATAAGAGAGTCAGTGGGTTTGGCAATTGTCATTCTCTCCGACTTTTGCATGGTTGTCTTTGCGTGACTGTAGTCGACTGAGACACTCCGAGGCGTCTCTACCAGCCCACACAGAGGCAAGGTCATTGTTTTTATCTTTGTCCTGTGTTTCCTTCTACTTCACCCACTGCTGAGAAGGCTTGAATATCTTTTGGCCTTTGTTTCCAGGGCAGAAAGGAGAAAGAGGTCTTGATGGGCTCCCAGGATTTCCAGGACAAGAGGGACAACATGGTCAGGATGGACTTCCTGGAAAAAAGGGGGATCCAGGCCCCCCAGTATGTATCATTCTTCTTTGGCTACCGAATTTCCTTTTCTTATATGGCCATGAAGCTTCTGTTTTCCCGTTCTCAATTTAAAACTATAATGCAGTCAAGTGCCAACGTGCTAGAAATCAGAGTTGCCTTCTAGTGACTGCCACGAAAAGATGATTGTTATAAAAGGTGTGACATAATTGCAGATGGTCTGAAATCCTGAGTAATGGTTTAGTTATATAGCAAGACTCCCTGTCCTGTCTTCGGTCTTTGTATCATTCTCATGTTGTGTATCTGTTTCAGGGGCCCTCACATCCACGAAGCCCCCAGTGACCTCAGGCCTGTTCAGTTAACTCTATAGGACGGAGGATAGAACACAGGTCCTGAAAATGACCTTCAGTTCTGTCCCCAGATGAAGAGGCACATGAGGGGAGGTCGTAAGCAAGGGAGGGTCAACTAGTGCAAATCCCCTGAATTTTTACATATTGGCTGATGGGAAATCCCACTGACAAGTGATATTTCTGCATTTTTCAAACACGTTTTGGGTGGAGACCATGTGTAGGTAACGCAGGTCATAAGAAAAGACTATGAGACATGATCCAGTGCTAAGAACTTAAAATATCTTGGGTACATGAGGCATTTTTGATTGCTTGCAATGTCACAAGAACTGAACGAGGTGTTTCGTGCATATCATCAGTCTTCTGAAGAGCAATTTGCTCCCAGATTTTACCATCAGAAATGGAGGCTAAGGGTATGTTACTCTAGGTCACCTACCTATCAAGTAGGCTAAACTAGAGTGAAAACCCCAGTCTGTCTTACACCAACACACGTGCTGCTTCTGTTAGACATGCTCCCTGCCACTGAGAGCAGCAGGCCTTCCTTGTCCGTGAGAGTCCTGGAAACTGTTCATTCCTTTGGAGTGAATGAGATGAGCCCCACATGCGGCAGACGCGGTGGCAGCCGGGGCTTGAGAGGCTTCTTCTCCACCAGAGCACAGCTTGCGGGGACCCCACGGGGAACTTGCCAGTTCCAGGAACCACTGCTCGAGGAAGCCCCAACAAGGGCTCCACAAAGATCTTTCTAGTTTTCCAGACCAGGTGCAAGCTTTGCAGCGGGGATTGATTTTACCATAAGCAATGCTGCCTTGTGATGTACTTGACACCCTGCTTTTATGAAGTTGCCTGAGGAACAAAACTAGACGGTTAAGCAAAGGTCAAATTCTTAAGCGGGAGCAGAAAGTGTTTGTCAGCCCTTGGCTTGCAGATGTGGAGGGTGGTAGAGTCTATCCCTGTGTCTCCTCATAAGAATACAGGACAACAATTTCAAATACATAAGAACTTATTTGTTCAATTTGTAAGCCTTCTACCTCCCTCAAATTATATATTTCTGTATTTCATTACTTTGGTATCAGAGAGTTGTTCTCACATAAAATTTCTCAAGTGTATTTAATATATAACACACACATGGCTTTCTGTATTTGAGGCTCAACCCCCCCACCAGCATATAAGTGTTTGTAAATATTTATGTAAAATATGAATAAGAAGCTGAGTTAATCATTTAAAATTATGTTTGCTATTGAGTCTCCTAGAATTATGAGGTTTTTCTATGTGTTTCTATAGCTTATGACAATGACTGCTTTGAACTCATGGACTAGCAAAGATTGCTAACTGACTCATGATGCAAACATTCCCAGGGGGATCATGAAGACGCTTTACCAGGTGATGAAGGGTCTCCTGGACCGCCGGGCCTCCCGGGCAGAGCAGGACCTAGGGGACAACCAGGTCTGGGATTTTCCGGCCCACCAGGAGAGAGAGGGCCACCAGGAGCTCCAGGCCACCCTGGCGAGAGGGGCCTCGAGGGCTTGAAGGGTCAGAAAGGTAATTTTGAATGTTTTGTGTTACAGAATGGCAAGGGAAATAATGGAAGCTAAAGTGATCCTCTCTCCTGGGCAAAGTTATTATAGCTATGGCTAGAACCGCTAAATAACATTCCTTCTAGCTGCTGTTCAAACCTTGATTGTTGTCTAACAAATAAAAACATTATAGCACAATCAATATTTAAAACAAATTCTTAAAATACTAAAATGTCTTTGTTGCTGTATTTGTCTGGCATACCGAAATTGCCTTTCATTCATTTCTCAGTACCAACTCGTGCAATCTGTATTAAATTTACATACATATTCAAAATACCTATTTGTTTACAGTCTTTTGAGACAGTGCGGTGTATCTTAATAAAAAACACTAATATTTCATTTTAAAAATACATCATTGTCCTTGAAAACCCATGTGTAAGCCTTCTAGGAAGAAAAACAAAGAAGGGATTTCAAATATATTTGACAGTTATCTGAATTTAAACAGTAAAGTGACTTGCAGTATTAGAGTGGAAAGCTTTTGGAAAGGCTGCAGAAAGATTTATTTAAGATTTTTTTCCTTTGTAATATGTACATATGCCTTGGGCTACATTATTAATTGTGAAGGTGTTAGAACTGAGATAGTATCATTGGTTCTTGCTTTGAAAACATAGGCAATAATTTGGTCCTCAATAAGGCTTAAGGTTATGGTTCTGGACCCATCAGAATCTAACATTATTTTTATTCAGTTGATACATTTTTGATTTGAGAGCATATGAAGCAATACATTATAATCCATTTGTTCTCTTATAAAAGAGAAATATTCCATTTCAAAGGGGGAGGGAACCAAGAGGCCCAAGCTTTGGAGTCTTCCTGTCTTCACCAGCGACCACAGTGCAGAGTCATTAACAAAACCAAGAGACGATACATGTGAAGGCCCAGATCCATGGCAGGCCCTCCGGAAATGGCTACTGGCATTAATACCTCACCGAGTGTCCTCATCTACACAGGCCTCCCACCCCCAAACCAGGAGTCCAGTCCTCTGAGCTCACTGTTCGATGTCGCTCCTACATCAGGATTTGCTAGGTCTTCCGATTCCATTGTATTGGGTGTCATTGGGCCTGTCAATACATTATTTTTTTTTTTCTGGGCTATTAAAACTGAAACTTCTTGGGATTTTTCTTATTCCCCTTATGTTCATAGCTGTCTGACAGTTGAAGCTCAGATTTCAGGACCCATCTTTTAGAAATTCAGAATAAAGCTAGTTCAGATGATCTGAGAACACTTGGGAGTCTTCTTTTCCCTTGAAATCCACATATACTATATGAAAAAATATCTTGATTGAGTTATCATTGAGATTCACTTTACGTGGGGTTATTGGTTGTGTGAATGCCGCTTTGTTTGTTTGTTTGTTTTCATTCCAGGCGATACAATTTCTTGTAACGTCACTTACCCTGGGAGGCCAGGGCCCCCAGGATTTGATGGGCCTCCAGGTAGGATCAATGAGAAATTGCTGTTTTACACATTCCCCAGAGTAAAGGAACTGGTGACAGATGAACCGATAGTTAATCATCTGGCAACTAGTGAGGATAATTATCATCAGGTTTTGAGGGACTCTGGGAAAACAGCATTTGTGGTAAGTCACACTGGGGCTCAAGTCTACTGGTTTGGACATACTCTAGGTGGGGTTGTTTGATTTATTTTTTTAATTTCTACGCAGCAAAATTTACCTTGATGTGATCACATATCAGTAGAAATGTCTGCCCTTTGAGAATTTTAAAACTGTACCTTCTTTCTTTTCTTATGCCCCAAGAGTGAAAAATGATAATGTGCTTAGTGATTGTAAGTTTTACTCTATTCTTCTTTCCAAGCCTCAAGGGATGTGAACACTCAAATTTTAACTTGGCGGTTACACTTCCTTTAAAGTTATTTTAGCTGAGAGAACTTCCAGCAAGAAATCACAGAACGTTTAAAAAAAAAAAAAATCTCGATTCCTTTTGCAGGTGCTTCTAGCCTATACTTCCTTTGAGGGCAATATAGTAAGGTGCAGGGAAATAGATTTTGGCCTTTATCCTGGTGGTTTCTTAGCAGGCCACACGCTGGCTGCCGTCTCCTTCCTCCTACAAGGAGGAGGTTTGCTCGAATATTTGTGTTGAGACGGAGCAAGGGAAGGCACCAAAAGATTCATCGGAGTGGTGATATATGTCTCAAAGGCTTTCAGGGAGAATCCTTTAAAGTATGGCTTCTGAGAAAGTGCTTTAACAAAATCACTCTCTTACTTACATAAAGTAGAAATACTCTGAAAAGGACAGTGTAGATTCTTTTTAAATCACTTGATTTTGTTCTCATTTGATTTGTGTTTTATTGAGCCTGTGTTTTGTTATTATTATTTAGGACCAAAGGGATTTCCAGGTCCTCGGGGCACTCCGGGGTTGAGGTGTTTGGATGGGCAAAAAGGTCAGCGTGGCAAACCAGGAATATCAGAAATACCTGGTCCACCTGGTAAATAAGTGTTTTTCATTTAAGAATGTGTATATGCCTCCTACACTCAATGAGCTTAGTAAGCAGACGGCCCAGGGAGCCCTACATAATGGGGGCGGGGATGTTTTTTCTTGAAACCTTAAGCTCTTAGCTATGTTTTGATAACTTTTAGGTGCTGGTAATTTTGTAAATTCTCAGGGCTCCTTCCACCTGAAGCATGAGTTCCAGCCTATTATTGGTCTGTTATTTGATAGAAACTGCTCAGTCCAGACAGACTGTCAGTGAATGAAAGCAATGAGGGAAACATCGTTGGCTTCTAGGAGATACAAAATCACAATGTATTTTCTTACAAAAGGTGGCAAAGCAACATTGCCTAGTAAGTTATTCTTAATTTTAGTTAATACTCTTGTATTTTTAAAAAATGTGTTTTTATCAAAGTAGTAGCCTTCCATTTGTATTGGTTCTATATTTGTACATTTAAAAATTTAAACTATTCTGTTCAATAGGGTTTCGTGGTGACATGGGCGATCCAGGTTTTGGAGGTGGAAAGGGGTCCTCCGTTCTCGGGCCCCCAGGCTCACCTGGTTCTCGTGGAGCAAATGGTCAGAAAGGAGTCATGGGAGACACTGCCTATGGCCAACCAGGTGCCCCAGGCAAGAGAGGTCTTTCAGGAGTGCCAGGGTCAAAAGGACACAGAGGTGACCCGGGACGTCCAGGCTTTTCAGGTATGAGGGCCGCTCTGTCCCTGTGGTCCATAAAGCTGGCTCAGCTCTGGAACAGGTCATTGAAGAGTATTTAGACTATCTAGCCATAGAAATCTAGAATGCAAGATTTCCCCCCTAAGCATCTTCCCTTCTAAATGAGCACTGGTCACATTTCAAGGAACTTGCATCTGTAGCGTTGTCTTTATATTTTATGGGTTGTTTTCAAATTCAGGGCAGCTCACTGTGGCTCAGTCCATTCGGGTTGATTCAGCAGCTACTGGACATCTGTCTGCTTCGGACTCAGGATAGCGTGTGAGCACTGTAAACGCCCAAGGAGCAGGCACCGGGTCACCTGCCCACTGCCAAGGCCAGGTTGAAAGAAGACAGGCTGCAAGAGGGGCAGCTCAGGGGGGCAGAGCAGTGTGCGATGGTGTTCAGGGAGGCTGGCTGTGGGCTGGGCCCTGGCAGGCACACTGTGTTATTTGGACAGGTGACAGGATGGAGGCACTTTCATTCCAGCAGGGGCAGCAGGTGAGGAAGGTGGGAGGATGGTCCTGGCACTGACTTACGTCTGTTTCCAAAATCACTAAGGATTCCTCAGGATCCTCAGTACAAGTCTTTAATGTATTTAACAGTAACCCTGGGTAAGGATCCTTAAAATCATCATCTTTGGGGCCCCAGTCTCAGGAATTTTGATTCATTACATCAGAATTGGCTGGGTCCCAGCAGTCCAGCCCCTTGGGTGATGGTGACCAAGAGTGGACCCCAGACCAGACTTTTACAAACACTGTTCTGGTTCTTTTCGAACAGTAGATGGGCCAGTATTTATTAGGTATCCACAATAGTATCATAGTACAGGGAAATGGAGGGCAGGGGATTAAGTCACTTTCTCTGTCACCAGGGAGCTTACTTACTCTGTAGTTGGTAAGTCAAAATATTCATATACAAAACCCCAATTAGTTGGAAAGTAACAGGAGAATACATTCTGTGAGTCAATGAAAAATATTTTGACTTAGTAATCCTACTCTCTCACTTATGACAATGTATCTAAGGAAAGTGTTCAGCAGAAAATAAAGGTTATTGTGAAAATACTCTTGTATTATCCACAGTAGATGAACAAATGGGAACAATAGAGTTAAGTAATACACACACACACACTCAAAGGAATACCATTCAGCTATTTTCAACTAAAGTTATCTCAACTAAAATTATAAAGATTATAACAAAATTGAAAACATTTGCAGATTAATATGTGATGTGAAATAATCCAACAATTATGCGCTGTGATTACTACTTAAAAGATGTAAACTTATGAACAGAAGTATATTGAAAACGTGGAAAAATAGAATAGATTTTTAGGTTAGGGCATGGGATGGTGGGGGGATTGATTTTCTTTCCTGAAAATTATTACTCTGCCTTTCCAATATATAGAAATTTAAGAGTTTAAGGGATGAAATAGCTTACAAAAAGCACATCCATAAACTGCAAACTGGGTGTGTAAGCACTGTGGAGATTTGGTGTAATGTGAGAGGTTAATTAAAATCAAGAAGAACTTCATGGTGTTTAAATTTGCCCAAGCAACTTCTTTGTTGCCTACGTAACCATAACAAGTAACTCTATTAGTAATGCATGGTTTTCCCATTCATTTGGAACTCACTACCATCCAGGATAAGAAAATCCTTTGAGAAACTTCACTCGTTTGAGCCCTGAGCTGGATGGAAATGCTTGTTTCTGGTATTGCTATGCATGCCCCTGTTGCGGCAGGCTGACTCCCTAGTTTCATACCAAGAGTGTCAGGAGTGCATTGTATCATTTCAGGGCCAGCTGGCAGGCCGGGATTCCCAGGTCTCAAAGGCCCCAGAGGCACAGAGGGAAGTGCTGGGTTTCCAGGAATCCCAGGTCCACCTGGTCAGTCCTGCAAAGGAGGCGCCCCAGGGATAGCAGGACCACCGGGAGTCCCTGGGGCTCCAGGCCAGCCAGGTAAGTGTGAGCATGCACCAAGCCCTGTGAAGAGTCTGGGACTTGACCCTACTTCCGGAGGAATGAGCCCACCTGCTGCTCTTTTACGGACCAGCACAACCAAGACCCTGCAGCAGAGATGAAGGACTTTCCTGTTCTAGAATGGCGGGGCACCTGGGTGGCTCAGTCGTTAAGCGTCTGCCTTCGGCTCAGGTCATGATCCCAGCGTCCTGGGATTGAGCCCTGCATCAGGCTCCCTGCTCCGCAGGAAGCCTGCTTCTCTCTCTCTCCCGCTCCCCCTGCTTGTGTTTCCTCTCTCGCTGTGTCTCTCCCTGTCAAATAAATAAATAAAATCTTAAAAAAAAAAAATCTGTTTAGAATGGCAAGTGGCATGCGCTTCCTGGTGGTTCGGGTCATTTCCCCTTGTCACCCTAGTCTCACGGGGACACCGAAGTGGGGCTTGGAGATGTTGCATTGCATGCACAGTGGGTCCCAGGATCTGCAGGGAGCACGGAGCCTGGGGAGCTGCTGCTTCCTAGCCGCGGGCAGGACAGCCTGCTCCTTATGCTGGGGCAGGTGCTGTGTCATCCGTGGGCAACACACGCAAGCTTGAGAGCTAGCCCAGTTCTAGCCCATAAAGAGCGGCCAGGACCTTGTATTTTTGGTGCACCCAGCAAGACACGTAGGGGCTCAAGAGACCCAGGAAGAAGTGTGTCTCAACCCAAGGTGCTAGAGGGCTGTTTCCAGTGTGATCTTCATTTCACCATTTGGTTTGTCACCTATTATTTAAATCCTATTGCATTTATCCAAAAATGGCAGCAAGATGCCCTCTGAATGGATCAAAATGAGATTGGGGCAAACCCTGCCACTACAGCTTTATTTCTAGCATCAGTAAAAAGTAGATGATGTTGCTGTGATTTCTACAGTTCTCTGGTGAACAATCTGACCAAGTTTACTTGGCCAGAGCTGCAGGAAACATCTGGAAAGTTTACTTCCATTGGTTTCAAGAGTAAATACAAATAATGTTTTTGTTCTTCACCCTTCCCCATTTTCCATTTTTAAAATGCTCTTTATAGTATTCGTGTATCTCTACTGGGAAATATTTATTCAAGTAATCTGCCTTTCCTTTTATAGCAGCCAGAAAAAGACGTTCTGAGACTGATGGAGAATTGCCACTGTGGTTTAGCTGATAAACATTGTTTGTTTCATAGGAACGGATACACAATTTAAGCTATCGGGAACTTTTTTTCCTGCCCGTGTGTGAAGCCAGTGTTCGGTCTTCACATGTTGTTGTCCTTGTGTTTTTTCTCAGGTGCCCCAGGTTGGAAAGGACAGCGAGGGGATATGGGGCCTCCTGGTCCATCTGGAATGAAGGGCCTCCCAGGAGTTCCAGGACGGCCAGGGGCACATGGTCCCTTAGGACTCCCAGGTGTCCCAGGCCCTTCAGGGGATGATGGACTGCCTGGTCTTCCAGGCCCAAAGGGTGGGTAGCACTTTTCCATTATTTACCCCTATTTTATAAACTTGAAATCCACTGCCAAGTGAAGACTATTACATATGATCATACTATTGAATTACTGTTATTTCAGCCTGATATTGTCCTTCTCTTAGTGACAGCTCCCTTCTTCTTATCCCCTATATTTTTATTTCCAGTGGCAGAATGTTTTGGCATATGTAAATGGGACAAGGTGGGTAGGGAGATTAAGCCCACAGAACCCACAACACACTAGGTAGAGCACATCAGGTGTTGGGTCAGGGCTAATGTACTTCCACATCGGATGAGCCCCCACTCGCCAGCCCCACATCCCCCCCGCCACATCTTAAAGCGTCATGAGATCAGGACTTAGAAACATAAAGGCTCCCACTTCAGCCCTATGGGGTGGAAAGCTGAGTAGGCGAGCACAGCCAATACATGTGGTGGGGCTGATAGTGGTCGTTCACCTTCGGTACAAACTGAGGTCCGAGGGAGGGCAAATCTCCGTGCCGACGACAAGGAACGCAAACCTAGGAAGCATGCTAGCCTTTAAAATGTCTTTCTACAAATTCGTGTTCTCATTTCATCAGGATCCCAGGGGCTGCCTGGCTTCCCCGGTTTTCCGGGGCAAAGAGGAAAGCCTGGCCCCGAGGGACGTGCTGGCCGTAAGGGGGACCCGGGAGAAGACGGTCGGCCTGGCTTCCTCGGAGACCGTGGGGTGAAAGGTGCCAAAGGTAAATGCACTTGACAGCACGATGATGCCACATTGGTGGTTTTGGTATTTGATCAGAACGTATAGAGATGGTCTTTGAAAAATAAATGGGACTATCCTGCAGCTTGGATTCCTCTTCCTTTTGGATTGCTGGTGTTTGTTTTAGAATCTTAAACCAAATTCATTTTCCAACCTTTCAGTCTTATTGCATATAACTGATAAATGAATTGCTCTATTAATAGAAAAGATAACAAGTGCTTTGATATATGGCTATTGGGTTGAAAAGAACCTTCTCACCAGTTGGGAAGGGGGTGAGGCCCCAGTCTCTGTTTCGATCTTTTCTTTCTTTTTTTTTTTTGTAAAAAAAAAAAATACTTTTTTTTGGTAAAGAGCCAGATAGTAAATATTACAGGCCCCTGTGGTCCCTGTTGAAACCATTCAGCTCAGCTTCTGCAGCCTGGAAGCAGGCAGACATTGCATGGAAACATGCTAACATAACTTACGTTCCAATCGAATTTTCTTCATGGACACTGAAATTTGAGCTTCATTTATTTCACATGCCACAAAATGTTATTTATTCCCATTTTGAGTTCCATCCCCTAATAATTTAAACATGTAAAAACCGTAGCTCACGGATTATACGTAAACTGGTCACAGGTGGGATTTGGCTCTCAGGTTGTAACTTGCTGACCTCTGAAATAGAGTAAGTCCGCTTTCATCTGAGCCATGAGTTACGCCTCCCCAGCTTCCTTTAAAGGAAGAGTTTTCAGGGCACCCTGGTGGCTCAGTCGGTTAAGTGTCCGACTCTTGATTTTGGCTTAGGTCATGATCTCGGGGTCCTGAGACCCAGCCCTGTGTCAGGCTCCAGGTTCAGTGAGGGGTAAGGGGGTCCTGTTTGAGATTCTCTCCCTCTCCCTCTGCCCCTCTGCCTGCTCATGCTCTCTCTCTCTCTCTAAAATAAATAATAGATCTTTAAAAAAATGAAAGTTTTCAAATAAATAAAATCTTAAAATAATAGTTGTCCTTACTATTAAAAAATAAAAATTTCTAGATTACTGGTGTAAATGTTCTGTGTCCATCCCTGTTACATATTTACTTTTACCACTTAGCTAGGAGGCCATAGTGAGTGAAGGTAAAATCTCATTTCCAGTTTTGAGAATGAATGCTTGACAATTTGAGAAACAAGTCTTTTTGTCCTTAAAGCCCTTTGGGTAAATAGCCTCCTATATAATTTAAATTACTTTTACTTCTTAGGGGATTGATTCTACTCTTATTTTTGTTTTACTAGCCTGTAAATTTTTTTATAAAAGAATCAAGGGATCAGAGTCACTCTTAGCTAGCTTAGAAAGTGATGTTTGCTATGCTATTATGGTCTCCAAAATAAAACAAATTTAAGAAACTGATATTACACTGTATGTTAACTAACTGGAATTTAAATAAAAACTTTTAAAAAAAATGCCCTGATTGGTGTTTGCTCCCGTGGTAGAAATACTCCCACCGTGGCTGATTTAAAGCTGCCAGCACTTTAATAACTGGTTTACAAAATTCTTGGCTTGTTAGTAATTGGCTCTCACCATGCTGGTATGAGCCCACTTGAGCACACTTCTTTCTACAACTGGACAATGTTTATGAAAATCAGGTAGAAATACCGTATATTCGTCCTACCTTTCAGAATTCTCTATGTGGAGAAGCAAGTTGAAATAAGTGTTCTTTTAATGTAAGGAAAATAATAGAGGGTGGCTAGGAAGGGAAAGGCAGGGAACTGTAAAATATGAGATGGGCAGTTCACGTTTTACTGGATGAAGAGACATATTTCAGATTTGGAACTTTTCAAGCTTATCTGTTTTCACCTAAGACTTGGAGACCCATTTGGCTGAATTTAGCAAGTATCCACTGATCACTGCCTGTACCCCAGACCCTGTTGCTGGACACACTGGGAGGGGGATGTAAAAAGGTGCGGCCCTTCCTTTGGGAAATCCATTGTGATATTGTGCAAGCTGTAAACATAAATATGGTTTAGGAAATGAAATGTGGATTTGCAAACTGGACCTGAAGTGTCGTAACAGAAAAATCACGTGTGTGGTGCTTCTGTTTGTTCTTCTCTTTCATAATTAATATCTGAAGGGGAGAGAGGACCCCCAGGAGATGAAGGAGAGATGGCTATCATTTCCCAAAAGGGGAAAACTGGGGAACCCGGACCTCCAGGAGATGGTGGATTCCCAGGAGAAGAAGGTAGGTAAAAGCTCATTCTTTTTAACTGTATCAAATGAGTTGGCCTTTCTAGATCATTCAAAGAAGCATGCATAAGCGGCAGCTTTCCTAATAATGCTGAGATTGGAGAAGGTCACTTTTTAAATTATTTTATTTTATTTTATTTTATTTTAAGATTTTATTTATTTATTTGACAGAGAGAGACACAGCGAGAGAGAGAACACAAGCAGGGGGAGTGGGAGAGGGAGAAGCAGGCTTCCCGCGGAGCAGGGAGCCCGTTGCAGGGCTCGATCCCAGGACCCTGGGATCATGACCTGAGCTGAAGGCAGACGCTTAACAACTGAGCCACCCAGGCACCCCAAGGTCACTTTTTTTAGATACAAATATACACAGATTAACCTCATGTTGCATTTTTCTTTGGCTTTTCCATGCCAGAACTTAGTTAAAGTTCATACGTATGTATAGGTCTGGATATTCCAAACTAGGATCAGTCCTAAGATTGTACATCTAATACCAGTTCCAGCTTCCCAGTACCCCCAGTTGTGGTGACTGGTATTAAAACAAGTAACACAGTGATGACTGTCCAGGTCGTTTTGACCCATGCTTCTCCATCTTCAGCATGCCCACGAACCCCTGGGGCTCTTGTGGAAATGCAGATTCTGGATTGGCACATCTGGGGCAGGCCCCACTCTTCCTTTCTAACAAGCACCCCAATGCCTGTGCTCCCCAGAAACAGCATATGGCAAGGATTTTGGGCACCACATTTGTATTCTCCTGCCCCCCAAGTTCAGGTTAATCTGCGTGAGGCCCGGGCTCTTGTCTTGGCTCTCTCCTTAACTAGTTGTTAGGGGGCGACTGTTTTTTAACTGAGCTAGGTAAGTTCTTCATTTGTGAGATGAATGTGTGACAAAGCAGATGGATGACCCTGCAGGCTCATTCCTCCCTTGGAGTCCCTTCATTCCTCCCTGAGTCAATTCATGGGCGCTTCTTTCCCAGTGAGGTCACTGAAGCCCAAAACCATCACGATGGGGCTTAGGGCAGGAACCAGGACTCCCCAAAACCTTGGGCTTCATCTCCTAAATAGAGGACCCAAACTCTCAGCCTCACGACTGCTCCACCCAGGATTTCCTTGAAGAGGTTTGTCATACTTGTAACCCCACCAGGTGATAAAGGCGATCCTGGGATGCAGGGGAGGAAAGGAGAGCCAGGAAGACACGGAGCAGCCGGATTTCACAGAGGGGAGCCTGGTAGAACTGGGCAGCCAGGGCTTCCCGGCTCCCCAGGCCCCCCAGGCTCCCCTGGGCCAAGAGGGATTATTGGTTTTCCGGGATTTCCAGGTGACCAGGTAAGTGGCTTTGGTTGGGGAGGACAGAAATAATACAACCCTTTTGCTCTCGGATGCCCATAGGAGTCATAATTTGCCAATGTACATCATTGCTCTTTGACTGGCTTTTAGAATGTAAGCGAAAAGAATGGAAGCTTCTGGAAGGCCATGATGTGACTATAATTTCTAAGCAGGGCTCATGCCTGTTTTCCCATGACAGATGACAGAGTCACTTACTCCATGTACTACCCTACCCCCCCAAGCCTAGTTTAAACAGCTCCACAGAAACTTTCCTCGTGACTACTGGTTTATCAGAGTAAAGAATCCTCTGAAAAATAACCCAAATTCCAGTGTCTAAACCTTCCTGTCTGGTTGCAGATATCACAGATTTTGCTGTAAATATATTTGGTCTTCAAAACCATGAGTAAAATACCCCCACTGAGAAGCCAGGAGGTACAATATGTGTCATAGACTACATCACAACTTCTAGAAGATGGATATAATTTGCTACCCATCTTTTGGAATCAAATAGATTTTTCAAGTTTTTGGTAAAAAAAAAAAGTCTTCTAACAATATTTTATTTGGTATTAATTTGCTCAATCAAATCTTAAAATTCAAATTATGTGATACATTTACTGTTTTGTAATCATGCTACCTGTTGGTACCTCTAATTCTGGAGTTTTAGTCACTTTTAAAAAGCTAGACACATGTATTAGTATGCTGCAATGCATTTCTGATTTTCTTTACCACTGCAAACATATGGAAATGGGTTATGGAAGATTATAACTGGATAATGTTATGAATTTGTCATTTGTATTTGAAACCAAATTAAAGTCTTTTGTTACACTGTCAGGGTGAGCCAGGTTCTCCAGGGTCCCCCGGACGTTCAGGAATTGATGGAATGAGAGGACCTAAAGGTATGCTTTGGACATACAGCAGCCATCCACCAAGTTCATGTCTGTAATATTGTGAGCATGCACATTTGGTATGAAAATTAAAGTATATCCAACAAACTGCAACATCAAAGGGCTTCTTTTTTACTTTTTATTTTTTAAGTTTTTATTTAAATTCCAGTTAGTTAACATATAGTGTAATATTAGCTTCAGATGTATAATATAGTGATTCAACACTTCCATACATCACCCGGTGCTCGTCACAAGTGCCCTCCTTCATCCCCATTACCTTTTTCACCCATCCTCCCACCCACCTCCTTTCTGGTAACCAGCAGATTGTTCTCTATAGGTAAGATGCTGTTTCTTGGTTTGCCCCCCTTCTCTCTCTTTTTCCCCTTTGCTCATTTGTTTCTTAAATTCCACATATAAGTGAAATCATATGGTGTTTGTCTTTCTCTGACTGACTTATTTCACTTAGCATAATATCCTCTAGCTCCATCCACGTCATTGCAAATGGCAAGATTTCATTCTTTTTATGGCTGAATAATATTCCATTGTATATATATATATACCACATCTTCTTTATCCATTTATGAAATGCTAGATGCTTGGACTGTTTCCATAGTTTGGTTATTGTAGATAATGCTGCTATAAACATCGGGTTGCATGTATCCCTTTGAATTAGTAGTGTATTTTGGGGGTAAATACCTAGTAGTGTGATTGCTGGATCATAGGGTAGTTCTATTTTTAACTTTTTGAGGAACCTCCATACTGTTTTCCAGAGTGGCTGCACCAGTTTGCATTCCCACCAAGAGTGTAAGAGGGTTCCCCTTTCTCCACATCCCCGCCAACATCTGTCATTTCCTGACTTGTTCATTTTAGCCATTCTGACAGGTGCGAGGTGACATCTCATTGTAGTTTTGATTTGCATTTCCCTGATGATGAGTGATGTTGAGCATCTTTTCATGTATCTGTTGGCTGCCTGGATGTCTTCTTTGGAAAAATGTCTGTTCTTGTCTTCTTCCCATTTTTAAATTGGATTATTCGTTTTGGGGGGCATTGTAAGGGTTTTGATATATTTTGGATTCTAATGAATTATTCATTATGGGGGTTTTGTAAGTTCTTGATATATTTTGGGTACTAGCCAAGGGGTTCTTCTTAGACTCTGTTAGACAGTCAAACACTCAAGACCCAAATCATCCACGTTTGTCATTCAGATCCGAGGGTAGCAGGTAGAGAACAGCATGCTTGCGAGCACAGAGGTCTTTCTCCTCAGTGGGGGTCCTTGAGCAGTCTGTGTGGTGACTGAAGCTCCCCATGTGGCAGCTCAAGTACAAGGAGACCAGATCCACATTGTGGGCAGCGTCTACCTTGGCTTGGAAGCCTCCTGCCCCATAGGAGATAATGTCTCTTCTAAAGACTCTGTAGATAGGGCTTTTAGGTTCCCAGTGACAAGAGTCACAGGACACAGAGAAGGCCAGAGCCATGACTTCCCTCCAGGTGTTAATACATCACTTAAGAATTTCTGGGCCACATTTAATTTTCAGTTGGGTTATTTTTACCGTAAGCCAAGGGTCAGCAAGTGTGTTTTTTCAAGGGGTCAGATCACAGATATTTTCAGCTCTGTGGGCTCTATTGCAGCTACTCAACTGTGCAAGAAAGCAGCCAGACAATATGCAAACAAGGGGTGTGGCTGTGTTTCATTAAGAAGTTATTTACAGAAAGCTACAGGTTAGGTTTGGCTTCATAGTCTTGGTTTACCTTGTGCCAAAAACAATGCTGCCTCATAACACAGCTGACATTCTACCTTAATCAGATTTGTAGGGAAACAGAAACACAAAGTTACCTGTGGATAAAAATATTCTTAGAGGTTTCATTTAACTTTTATTCAGACAAACAAGCAAACAAAAATCAGGATATCTTAAATTGTGATGTTTACGTAAACTTTTTTTTTTTTTTTAAGATTTCATTTATTTATTTGACAGAGAGAGACACAGTGAGAGAGGGAACACAAGCAGGGAGAGTGGGAGAGGGAGAAGCAGGCTCCCCACTGAGCAGGGAGCCCGATGTGGGGCTCGATCCCAGGACCCTGGGATCATGACCTGAGCCGAAGGCAGACGCTTAACCACTGAGCCACCCAGGAGGAGCCCCTTATGTAAACTCTTTAACATTGTTACTGTCCTTGTATACCAGTGGGTTAATATTTTTCTTTAAATCTATTTAAATATGATTCACTGTTTTAACCTTAGCTTTAACCTCACTATCTGTGAATTCACAGGTTTGATGAGCAGTTATGTTTTACTTTATACGGATGAAAATGAATAACTTTAAAATATAAAGGAGTAGGGGCACCTGGTTGGCTCAGTCAGAATAGCATGCGACTCTTGATCTCAGGGTTGTAAGTTTAAGCCCCATGTTGGGTGTAGAGATTACTTAAAAATAAAATCTTTAAAAAAAAGTACAATGAACTATAAAAGAGTAATTAATGAACCACCTAAAAATCTCCTCCCTTACCACAAAATGCTTTGCATTTTGAGAGACACTCCATAAGTAATAGGATAACTGCTATAAGAAAAAATGAACTGTGCAACTTATTTTTTCAGAAGGAATAATCGATATATTTTCCTCAGAAATAGTTACAAGTAGGGAAGTTCTCATATTTGAGTTGACATTTTATAGCTTCATGATTTAAAACTCAGTCCTCTTCTAATTCCCTATGCATTTATTATAGTCCCTTTGCCTCTCTCAAAGTACAAGCCTACTTCTTCTTATGTTCTTAATTCTTGTATCTGGCCATGTTTGCAAGGAACTGAAATGCACTTGTGGTCCCTGGAGTAAAAGTGGTCTCATGAAGCCCACCATAAGGCTAATGAAACCCAGCCCTTAGGCAACCCATGGTTTCTCTCTTGAGACCGTTCTGTTTTTCTTTATGGGCTGGCTTTTACTTACCTGCCAACTGACTTCATCACCAGTATCCTTTCTGGATCTTTCTGGATATGTCTGGATTGCAAACATGCTCTGCATTGAAGCATCATGCTAATGACATCGTGATGATCCTTTTGGTCGCTGCCTCAATAACCAATGACCTCAAACTCTTGCTTTTTATCCCAACTTCTCAAGGAAAGACTCACTGACCCGAGATGGACCAGATTTCTATCCCTCAAAGCCACAACTATGAGCAGGGTCAGGTGGAAGAGAAACTTCCACAGATGTGGGTGGGACCCCTTTGAAAGGGGTGTGGGTAGGAAGATATTATAAATCATACCTAATTGACTCTTACTCTCTCTTATAACCCCATCTGTTGCCTTGCCCGTCCCTGCCACACCATTCTGAGACCTCCGTTTATAACTGGCCCCCAGCTAGAAGCCCTGTGTCGGGAAGAGCATAGCCCCAGTGTGGCACAGCCCTGTGGTACCGTGGGAACCATTGCCTGCCGTGGCCTGCGAATGTGTGGTCTCTTGTGAAGTCATCAATAAAGTGTGCCTTTTAATTTTGTTTTTACAAGGACGCTGAGTTGAACTTCCTTGCAGAGAGCATAAAATGTGATTACAGCAGCTAAAACAGGGGCAATTTCTGCTTTTTGTTTCTAAAACACCATATAAGAATATAGTCAATCAGTACCAAATAATCTGTTAAATAGATACCTAAATTTGAAACTATTTTTGGGAACTTAAAAACTCAAACTTATTAAGATCTGTAGTTTCTTATGATTGTTATGAACTATAAAAATGGTGTGTGTGTGTGTTTAGATCACATCTTGCCTCTATGTTTCCATTTGTTTTTATATAGAAAAAAAGCATTTTTTCAAAAACTCTTCTGTAATATTTGAAGATAAATTATAAAGACAAATATGACAGTTATTAAGTCATGTGTATGAAACAAAATTAAATTATCTTAAATAATGTTATGTGCATTTTATCACTTACAGGAGACAAAGGTGACCCTGCAAGTCAGTTTGGCTCACCTGGTCCAAAGGGTGAACCAGGTAGCCTTGGATGTCCAGGTATAGCCACATGTTTTTCTTATTAAAACAAAAACGAATAGGGGCGACTGGATGGCTCAGTCAGTTGAGCGTCTGCGTCTTGGTCTCACCCAGGTCTTCAGCTCAGGGTCATGAACTTGGGCTCCATGCTGGGCTCCATGTTGGGCTCCACATTGGGCATGGAGCCTACTTAAAAAGCAAGCAAACAAAACAAAACAGAATAAATTTAGTTTGAAAAATAGAGCAATTACTTTATACTCCTAGCTGGCAATACTTCTATCGGTATTTTCTTCCCCCCTTTACACACTAAGGTACATCCTGAAGGATTATGTATAAATGCTGCCACCACATCCTTGGCCCAGAAGGACATCAGGATTATATCCCAGGGATTCTCAGGCTTTTTCCACCATGGCTCACATGACCTGTGATGTTGACATAACAATCCACTCCCCTTGGCATGCCCAGATTTTGACATGGTCAGAAATGATTACGGCAAGCAACCAAAAGCTGAACTATTTCACAATCTCTAGAATTATAAATGATACATTGGCAGTAACCATTCGCACTGACCACAGCCTCAGGTTGTCATTCCTGCCCTTTCTTTCCTACTCAGAAAATCATATGTGAATGCCAGTGAGGAGTGCCATCGTTGAGCTATCTTTGAATATCTCGTTTACTAAATATCTAATTTACTAAAAACCAAACCAAAAAAAAAAAAAAGTAAAATTTCGCCACCAACAATGAATCTAAATTATTCAAAACGGTACTTTATCAGTGATGATTGACATGTAATCCCTCAGAACGGATTACGATGTACCTGTGATCTTTTGCCTTCCGCTCAAGGCTGTGGCTGGGCTACAGTACATGACCCATCGTTGATGAAATATACATGCCTTTTAGCTTAGTAATTTTACTTGTAAGAATTTATCTGAAGTCAATTATCAGACAAATGTATAAAGATACATGCACAGGAATATTCATTGCATGGAAAGAGCAAATGCCATCCACAAATGATAGGTGAAGGAAGTATGCACGATCTCATTCAGCTGGTAGTGGATAGGTTTCGATACGTCCCTTGTAAGTTAAAATATCTCCTATTAATAGTTTTGTGCATTTTTTAAATTTATGTATTTGAGAGAGAGAGGGAGAGTGGGAGGAGGGGCAGAGGGAGAGTGGGAGGAGGGGCAGAGGGAGAGGGAGAGAGAGAGAATCTCAGGCAGACTGCCCACTGGGCTTGGAGCCTGACTCGGGGCTGGATCCCAGGACCCTGAGATCATGACCTGAGCTGAAATCAAGAGTCAGCCACCCAACTGACTGAGCCACCCAGGTGCCCATCGTTTTGTGCATTATCTTAAAATTGTCTTCGACATTAGTCATGTTTCATTACATACAACAGAAAGAATATATGAGCAGAAGTATTATCTGAAATTTTTTTTTTAAAGATTTTATTTATTTATTTGAGAGAGGGAATGAGAACAGACAGCAGGAGAGGGAGGAGGGTCAGAGGGAGAAGCAGACTCCCTGCTGAGCAGGAAGCCCAATGTGGGACTCCATCCCAGGACTCCAGGATCATGACCTGAGCTGAAGGCAGTCGCTTAACCAACTGAGCCACCCAGGCGCCCTATTATATGAAATTTTTGTTTGTTTTTATGCCATAAGATTGCTAAAATGAAGTCCAACAGAAAAACAAGCTATTACAATGGCAAGAACTTTCCCACTCTCTTTCATATTGGTCTTTTCCCTCTGACATGGTCAAATAGATATAGATAATACAGTATTTTAACCAAAGTATGCAGCTGAAGTGTACATTTGGAGGGGAAAATAGTTTTGAGCTTAACATTATGGGGGTTCATAATAAGTACCAGAGTGAGAAAGAAGCCTTAAGAAGGGAAACCAGTGGTTCAAAGTCAGTCTCCATTATTACTGTCCATGTGGTCTTGGGCAGGTTGCTTATCATCTTTGAGCTCAGTTTCCTCACCTGTAAACTGGCCCCATGCATAATTATAGGATTGTTCTGAGGATCAGATAAGATTCCTTGAAAGCAGGGGGTAAACTGAAAATTCCACCTTTACTGATATTTTTATGTAAACCATTAAGACAGTAAGATTTTATAAGCTGAAACTAGTCCAAAATGGAAGCCTTGGTATTACCTAGTATTTTAAGTGAAAAATTATAAATCTGAGTTATTTTACATTTAGGCTAACTTTTTCAAGAAAATTTGCCTTAGCCTAATTTCCCTGGTGTCCTGCAGTTATCACCATTTAATCTGTTCCCTTTCTCATATGCCATAGCTTTAGCTTAAAATTTCCAAATTACATCATATGTTATTCACCAGCACAGAGTTTACCTAAATACACAAGTTCCATTGACTGGGAAAAGCTGCGTTGATTGAGTTTGAATGAGCCCAACGAGAAGGCATAGAGCTGCTGCCTGTCTCAGGGGATTTGAAATGATTGTACTGGGTTTAGTTCTACCCCCCCATCACCCCATTCAATTCAGCGAGAAAATTCGGCACAGATTAACTCAGAAGCTCTGTTCTTAACACAGGTGCAACTGGGGAGGCAAGCCTCAGTCTTTCCATTTGGAAATGAGAATAACACTGTTGTACCTTTACTGCAGGAATGTTTTCAGGATAAATAAAATAACACACAGTGAGGCTCATAGATCTTAAAGCTGATCAGGGACCAGGTATAGACTAACACAGGCTTGTTTCATGTGTGTTCTAATAAATAATGCCTGTGCCTCCCACCACGGGTTTGTAAATCCAGAGGCATATATTTTATTTGCAGATTCAACTGGCTAATTTCAGTATGGACTATTGGGTTATCCTGTAAATCTGAATTGTATCAAAGTAATACATTGTAAATAAACAAGGGGAAATAGTCATCTTCTGTAGTAATCAAAGAAATGTAACTAAAGGAAGTCTGAGTTATTTTCTTCTTACTGAATTAGCAGGAAAACAAACCAACAAACTCACAAGTCCCCAGTGAGCACAGGGCAGGCACTTACAGTTGCTGTAACCAGTTACACGCAGTGGTGTGCATTCGGGCAGCACTTACCCAAACCACCTGGCCACCTCTGTCGAGAACAGAATGGTCTATTCTGAAAGACTAAACAGCAGCTGAACTGTTCTCGTCAGCAAGTCTCTGTCCTGAGATAGAGACTGTAGTAGATTGTTTCCTTTGACTTAAGGGATGTAGCCAGCAGATACAATGTGTGTTTCTGGAATGAGAGTCAGTGTGGAGAAACCAGCTGTGAAGGACATTAAGGGCCCAAGTGGGGGAACTCAAGTATGGAATGAGTACGGGATGATATTAACAATTGGTATTAATTTTCTTGGCTGCGATGATGTTATTTTGGCCATGTAGAAAAATGGTTTTTTCAGGCATACCTCCTGAGGTATTTAGGGATGGAATTCCATGATGCCTGTGATTTACTTTAAAATACTTCAGCAGCTTAAAATGCATAAAAATGAGCCAAAATATAACCTAGAAATTCTATGCCTAGGAATTTTTCCTAAGGAAATAATTTGAGAAAAATGGATTAAAAATATATAAAGATCATTATGCATAACAGCAAAGAGAAATAACTTGAATGGCTAATAGTAAGAGAAAATTAGGTTAATTAATTTAATTAAGATTAACCCAATAAGCTATCAGTTGGTCATTTCAAAACAACAATTAGAGGGGTGCCTGGGTGGCTCAGTTGGTTAAACATTTGACTCTTGATCTCAGCTCAGGTCTTGGTCTCAGGGTTGTGAATTCAAGCCCTGTGTTGGACTCCACGCTGGGCATGGAGCCTACTTTAATAATAAGAAGAAGAAGAAGAAGGAGGAGGAGGAGGAGAAGAAGAAGAAGAAAATAATAGCAAATTTGGAAAATTACTTATAATATGATGCTAATTTAAAAAATCAGAATATAAACTTGTGGGTCTTATTTGCACATTGTTATACACATGAGAAATTGTATTAAGGTGGTAGGATTAAAGGTGTTTTGTATTCTTCCTTAGTGTTATCTTTTCAACAAGTAAACAAGTACTACTAGAAAATAATGTCAGGTGCTGAAGTTGGAGGTTTTATAGATGCCCCGCCTCAAAGACCAATCCACAATTACTCAGATGTTTGATTCTTCTTTCTTTAGGACATCCTGGAGCACCCGGGGAGCAGGGCTTGCCCGGTGTTCAAGGGCCCACAGGATCACCAGGAAGTCCAGGACTACCTGGTACCTCCGGACCACCAGGGTGTCCAGGTATTTGAAAGGAGCCTGGAAATTTCCAGAGCACTCATCTATCTTCTAGGTTATCCGAAAGAGCCAACCTTCGCTTAGACTCTGCCACTTCCCAGATCTGTGACTTTGGACAAGTCACTCACACTTACTGTTCCTCACCCATAGGGTGGAGCTAGTCCAATCCCAGTGGGTTGGTCTGGGAGTAAACCAAGACAACACCTGTTAAGAGCCTAGCAAGGTGCCAGGCGCAAAGTGAGGGGCTGACAGATAAAAGCTCCTTTCCATCCCTCCTTAATCCCCCTGCGACTCAGATGCTGGTTTTCTTTTCTCCTTTAGACTTAAGACACATATCACATTGACAGCACAACATGTTAATGGCTCCTCGTCTTGCCGATTCAGAATATAGTGAAAGTTTAAAATTATAAATGGCAGCGGTAATCATTCCAAAGTGATTTGCTGCGTCTGAGGTTAAGTGTGCTTTTCTCTGTAGAGTTAGGAGGTCTAGGGGAAAAAAGTGATGACAATGTTCCCAATTACCCATCTGTTAAGAGCACAGATGACCTTCCCCATTAAGGTAACTCCTATCTCATGTGGGTGTCTGCAGAACCTCCCTCTCTCATCCTCAGGTAATCAAGGGGTGCCTGGGCTGCAGGGACCTCCAGGAGAAACAGGGGATCCTGGGCCAAGAGGCATGATGGGAGATCCAGGGGCATCAGGTCTTCCAGGAATAAAAGGTGAGTGGAAAGGAAACCCCACCCATGAGGGCAAATCAACAGCGCCTTTCTTGCGCTGCATGTCACCTCTGTTGGTCATGGCTCCTTACTCTTTCCCACATGCCCATCAACTCCTTCCTCTTCTTTCTCACTCAGAGCTTCAGGCAGCTCATCTAGGCTCTCCACTTGCCTTCTACCAAAATATGGTGCTGCCTTTGTTGAGAGCATTTCCCCCAGTGTTTTCCATAATGTTCAGGCCTCTTCACTTACTGTCTCCTTGGATAGTTAAGCTCCTCTTATGTTCCAAATTGTGTGTTAGACACTAGGTGTACAATTCTGAAGAGAATAGACCTTGTTCTTGCCTTCAGGGATCTCACAGTGTAGTCGTGGAGACGTATTAAAAACATACGTGTAAATAAATCTACATTTACCAATTGTGATAAGTGGAAGGAAAAGAATAAAAATGCTATGGAGAAAGAGTTACCAATATTCTTTATCTTTGTTAGATTAAAAAAACATTTTTTCCTGGTTGAATTTTTGGTCTTTATGGGTAATAGTAAACTGGTTATAAGTTTGGTTACAATAATACCATATATCCTATCGTACGTCATATTTATTTGTTGTTAACAGAACTTCATGCCCCTCCATTCCTCCATAGTCCTTACTCCTCTTCAGTCCATTTTTTCCCATTTTAGAAAAAAAAATGTTTTTCCTGGGTACTTTGTATATACTTCTAGTGTGGCACCTATGTCCTACACATTTGTATGTTTAGAGGTCTTTCTCACCAAGTAGAATATGATTTTTGTATCCTTGGCACCCAGTGGATACCCAGTAAATCTCCTGGATGGTTATTGTAAGTATTTTTAAGTTTGTGAATAAATTAATAGAGGACTGGATAAGTAGAAGAATGGACAACTGAGCTAATAGCTATGAAGTTGAGGGTCTTCACTTGAATAAGCAGACGAAGGGTCAAGCCTTACTTAGTAGATTTCTATAACTAAGCTCCTCTCTCTCCTCCTTCCTCCCCTTAGCTTCTGCTAGGTGACTCATCCATGTACTAAATTTTGGCCAAATGGAAATTACCTCCACTCGGAAGAGTTGGAAACCCCTCCTTTGGGCTTCATTGTTTTATTGTTTTGAAAATCCAAATTAAAATTTTCCACGCTTTCATCGCTCCCCTCACCAAATAGCTTTCAAATCATGTTTGTTTTCCAACACGCAGTAGTGTGGTATGTGTGACATGGCAGTATTCTGCAGAGAGGGAGGCCCTTTATTTTGGAGTGCTGGTACTTATGTATTTCCATGTGGCCAAATATTACTTGGCTTCTGGTTCCCATAACTAAACAAGACATCTTTGTACTGTTCTTCTCCCTCTTCATTGACATTTAATGCAAAGTCCAGTGATTTGTGATAAATTTAGGATTTCAAGCAATGCCGTAATTTTTTTAATGTTAAAAGTTTATCTAGTGATTGTGGCTGTTTGCTGTCCCTGGAAAATCCCTGTAGCCTTGGTGGGGTGTCCTCGGACACTTTTTCGCGTGTCTGGACGATGAAATTGGTAAAAACCCAAAAGAAAACTTTTCCATTATTAACCACTCCTACTGCATTTCCCCTTCATCTCACCCTCCTAGTTTAATAAAAATAGCAAGGATTTTCAAACCTCTCAGTGCCATAACAATAGACACTCAGTTTGACTAAAATCACTGGGCTCAGGTTGCTGTTGTTGATTTGTCCTGCCCTTGAATTAGTTTGCATTTATCACATAATTTCACTATGATATGTTTTTTTTTTTTTAAGATTTTATTAATTTATTTGAGAGAGCGAATGAGAGACAGAGAGCATGAGAAGGAGGAGGGTCAGAGGGAGAAGCAGACTCCCCGCCGAGCAGGGAGCCCGATGCGGGACTCGATCCCGGGACTCCAGGATCACGACCTGAGCCGAAGGCAGTCGCTTAACCGACTGAGCCACCCAGGCGCCCCCAATCCACCATTTATTTATTTTATTTTAATTTTATTTTAAAGATTTTATTTATTTATTTGAGAGAGAGAGAATGAGAGACAGAGAGCACGAGAGGGAGGAGGGTCAGAGGGAGAAGCAGACTCCCCGCTGAGCAGGGAGCCCGATGCGGGACTCGATCCCGGGACTCCAGGATCATGACCTGAGCCGAAGGCAGTCGCTTAACCAACTGAGCCACCCAGGCGCCCTCACTATGATATGTTATTTAAAAACTAATAGCCAATGACATTGACTGAGTAACAGAATTACTCGAAAAATAATCTCCAACCACATTGGAGTTCTGTGCTATAAAATAATGAGTTTGTCACGAGAAGGTGAGGCAGTGACTCTGTCACCCCAAATACTCACCCCGGCACACAGACGGACGCAGCAGTGGCGCTTCCTGGCCACTCAGGGACACTGTGTCTCTGCAAACTGCCCAATGAACAACCAGTCTTTAAAAACCCAACCCAACCCGACCAAACCGTGAATACATTCCTGAAAACAAAAACGTCCACAATATAAATCCATTGTTGCAGTTTATCATGCTGATATAAAAATGAACTGTACTCCAGCAGAAACACTTTGATCTGAGAAACTAAATATTTGAAGTATGTTCTAAATAAGTCAAGGGGACTGATTATCTTGTTTGAACAAACCAGCTGTTGAACTCCAAAGTTGTTTGTTCTGCTGGAACAGCCACGTGGATCCTGAGTCCTGCTTGTGTTCAGGCAGATTTAAACTCTAACTTAAACATATGCTAAAAAGGGCTTGATTTGTAGATTTAAATTAAGTTCAAGCACATATGCCCTCTAAAGGGAAGACACTCGGTTCCTCGTTAGGCGTTCATGAGATTGGAATAATGAAAACCTAAAGACAACTGTCTGCTCCATGGCAACAACCATAACGATGTGGATTGGGGTGTTTTGGCTGGTGGCAAGCGAAATGTTTCCTCAGAAATAAAGGCACCTAGAAATGTCGTTTATCTGGAAAGAAATGCCATGCATGTTACAGCTGTGGAAGTCATGGGAATGTTCTCCCCTCTTCTCCATTGAGAGGAGTGTCCTTCCAGCCCTGCCCCCACAGCACTTACTGCTCCTGAAGTAATTGCCCATTTGTTCTGTCAGGTCAGGGACTGCTTCTCTCGTGCTCTCCATTGTCTTGTCAGCAGCTGTCACCGAGGACATTTGGGGACAGAAGCTCTGGGGCTTAGGAGACCATGTCTTTATGCTCTTGTGCCTCTCCTCAGTAGGCACTCATGTAGTTTCTGAACCAAAAATCATATATATCTTATTTCAGAATCTGTTTTGATATGTTTTCAACTGTGTTCGACCATTACCTGTAGTTACGTGGGTCCCTTTCCCATTGGCTTTCACGTTCGGGTGACCAGCTGTCCGGGTTTGCCTGGGATGGAGGGGTGCCTCAGGATGCCAGAACTGGGCAAGTCCCCCATGCACAGGGACGAGATGGTCACCCCATTTAAAGTATAAACCTGTACAAAGGCCACCGGGGATAGAGTAGCATTTTCAGGCTTTAGAACAAAAGAAAACCTCAGTGAGAACCCAGTCTCTGAGTGGGCTGGCTAACTGGGATGGAGGCTGTGATTCCCCTTAGGGCTGGGGCAGGAGTTTTGATTCTCTGACTGGGGGGGAGCACGTGCTGTCCCATGAGCATAGGGAGGTGCAGCCTTACGTGAAGGGTGTTAAGCAGGAGGACGGCCAGAGAGGTGAATAAAAAATCCTCATTACCAAGGAATGTGCTTTGTTAGCCTAATTGCCTCTCATCTGCACTGTATATATTTTATGCATGAACAACTTTCTGATTTAGAGATGGGATTGATAAAAAGCTTTCAGTAAAAAGGAAAAATTGCCCTTAAAATCCTACCCAGATGTAGCTGCATTCGATTTAGAAAGATAACATTGGGTCAGATAAGGGTCGGCCAGTTCAACAATGGTGAGGGCCTGGGCCTGTGACAGCCCGGGATCTGGATGCGTTGATGGGACAATGGAGAGTTGGCAGAAGCTGAGACATTCCACCCCAGCTAAGTCCCCCAAGCCATCAATCTTGGTGGCTCCAGCTGGAGATCAAAACACATTGAAATAGCAAAGTGTTCTCAAAAAATTTATTATCATTTCAGATAGATTGCAATAAATATCCAGATTTGGCAGATGAAGAAGGTCTGTGTGTGCTTTTGGTGCAGACTTGAAAGGTTGGCTCATTAAGAGGAAAGAGGATTGAAAAATAAACTCAGCCAGAACTGTGAAAAGTGGTTAGGAAATAAGAGCTTTAGGAAAAATAAGGGTGCATTCCCATTTTTTGGGGGTGGGGGGTGGGGATGAGAGAATATGGCTCATTTGCACCAATCTAAAGTTTGAGTTTAAAAATAGAATAATGTCCATTTCAAGTACTGATAATAAATAGAGTGGAACTAGCTTAGTGTTCTCTCTTTTAATAAGAAGCCCACAGAGGACTTGCATTAATGAGTAGATAATAATTAGCACTTAAATTATTTATACACAAATGGATGCCTCTAACTTAATCAAATCTTATTCCTCCCATAAATCTACCAAAGACCATGTAATGTGCAAATAGACATTGTACCCCCTCCCTCCCACAGCTTTCTCTCCACCCATTCACGTCCCAGCCTTCCCTGTGGTAAATTTTCTCACTCACTCATTCATGCATCCACTCACCCATTCAACCAACACGTATTGAACACCAACTGTGTGTCAGGAGACATGCTAAATGGGGGCATGGGATGACTAATAAGACTTTATCTTGCACTCAATTAATTTACCCAAGTAATCCAGTCACCCAAAGACTTGCTTGTGGCATGATGTGGGATAGGCACCAGCAGAAGGGCATCGGGGAGCTCTGTGTAGGTATCATGGGGTAGCTGAGGGCCATTTGATGTTTGCTAAGGCATTATGATTGCAAAGGACAGGAATGTGGCCCTAAACTGAGTGAGGGGCTGGCTGGCTCTCAGCCTCCAATAAAGATCCACCAATGAATTTGGAAGGTCACCACGTTTGGCCAGGGGCTGGGGAGAAGATTCTTTCCCCCAAATCAGTGAGACAAGACATGTATGAATCACCTGGCAGAGGGCTCAGCTCCCGGAAATGTTCTGTACGTCTCAGTCGTCTGCCTTCTTCCTTTCCTCCCTCTGTCTATCCCTTGTTTCCTTCCTCTACTCCCTCCCTATAAATCTATACACTTATATATCTATATGTTATAATATAAATGTATTATAGATACTTTAAACATTTATATATTTATGAATCTATAGATTGATAGGTGTTCAGTGTTCATGTGAAGTCAGGCTGGTAGATATCTCCTTGGAGGACTACACTGATGCCTGGCAGAAAGAGATCATACCTAATTACAGAGACAGGAATTTTCAGTGATCGTTATGAAATAAATTTAGTTTCAATAAAGAGATATCAGAGTGGTTTGTTTTGAAAGAAGTAGTGGCAAAGAAATAGCACCAACCAAAGTTGCCCTGCAAGCTTCTTCTTTCTGAGTAGTACGGTACTTGAAGAAAAGTTAGGTAGGTCATGTATTCCCCAGTTTGTCACAGACTCCACCTGTCCTTATTGTCTTACTACATTTACCTGACTAGATCCTGAAGAAATTAGTATCTACAGACCATGGTGGAGTGGACAGGTTCTGAGCCTGGGAGGAAGGAGGCCTGGGTTTGCTCTAGTCCAATCTCTTTTCTCTCGTCTAGGATGAGTTCATTGTCCTAGAACCAAAGGTCCCTTCCTACACCAAGATTCAGTAATTCTAGACTGTATCTGGATAGAGAGAGATGGTCATAAACCAAGAGAAGTGTGGTAAAACCAAAGAAATGTGTTAAGCTGTCTTGCAGAAAATGTCCATCAAATGAATGTGTTAAGTAATAACCACTGGCACGGATTTAGCCTTGATAATGACATCTAGACAGTGCGACCTCATGCTCCCGCCTGAACAATCTGTCGGTGGCCATCAGCGAGTCGTCCCCTGGGCGTGCCTGGGCCCGATGGCCGGTGAACTTCAACACTGGATCTTCCCTGGTGGGTCACAGGCCTGTGATGTGTTTCAGGTCCCTCCGGGTCACCCGGTCTGAACGGCTTGCATGGCTTAAAGGGTCAGAAAGGAGCCAAAGGCACTTCAGGTAAGAGAAAATCCTTTGCAAAAGATTGAACTGCCGTCAGCAGCCTCAGATGCTGGTGGTATTCCTTCACTACACAGGATTTGGGGTGCCGAACTAAGAAATTGGCTTACCTGAGAGACACAGTATTGGACTGTTCCTAGTACTGAAGACGACTTCTCTAAAAAGGACCCCTGAGAAAACCCAATTTAAGAAGGAATAGATGGTTACCAGTGACTTCTGTTGATGTTGCTTGGGATTATCTCTCTGCTGAAAATATCCTGAATAATTGCCTAGGTGGAACTCGAATTTTAAATGTTACCAATAACAGATAGTTGGGAGGTTTTGTCTTTTTGGTGTTCGGTGTAGTGATGGCAAGTACGACCACGTGGGTCTAATGAGTACTTCTTGCGCCCCCAATGGGCTGCTGCTTAAACAAATGACCTGAGCAAGTCGCTGTTATCTTCGCTATCCCAAACAGGCTAATCATCAACAACTGCATTGGAGCTTGTTCTGGTATCTTAATATAGTGCTCGTTTGTTGCTTAAGTGTCTCAGAAAAACAGCCCACAACCAGACAGGGCAGATGGACTCAGACATGGAGGTTTGAGGGTGTTTGGGCAGAGGGTTGGATGCAATTGCTGGAGAGAGACAGACTCTTGATACAGTGTGGAAGGCCAAGAATTAATTTAGATCACATTGGATTCATTTTAGAGGCTCCTCCACAGAGCCTGATAAAATGTGTGCCTCCCCCAAGAAACCAGTGATGTTCTCCCGTTTCAGTGTGAACTCCGCAATGGTTATTTACGTGCCAGTTTCCACCTTAAATTTCAAACCATTGTATTCATAATTCCTTATGGCTGGATCTCATTTGGTTTCACTCCGGGGTAGAGGTTGGAACGTTGATACGCTGTTGTTTTTTCGGTTTTGTTTCAACGGGGGAAATAACCATAAAATAAGCCCACGGCTGACCTGCGGTGTGGTGGGGCGTAAGAGGGTACGTAACGGCCGACCCAGGGAGAGTTTTCAGCCCTGGGGCCACCACTGCAGCAGGTGGTCGGACTCAGCACAACCCGCTGGGCCCCTGTCACCCCGTCTGGAAGCAGTTCTTTTCCAGGGGCCACAACAGGGACAAACAGGGAGAAGACGAAGTACTAATGCTGTTTCCCTCGCCAAGGTTTGCACGACGTGGGCCCACCTGGTCCAGTGGGCGTACCCGGGCTGAAAGGGGAGACGGGAGACCCCGGGAGCCCGGGAATTTCTCCCCCAGGCCTTTCTGGAGGAAGAGGTGCCCCCGGCCCCCCAGGTAAGACGCAGCATGCTTTGCCCCTCTTAATAACTAAATCAGAACCTTCCAAACGTGAGGAGGCTGACATCTGAACACGTCCCTCCCCAGGGAGACCTGGATCCCCTGGTCCTGCAGGTGCCGCAGGAAGAGCTCCTAAAGGGGACATTCCTGACCCAGGTCCCCCCGGAGATCAGGGACCTCCTGGCCCCGACGGTCCAAGAGGTATGAGAAAATCCTGGCAAAGGATGGTGACCCTCCCTTCCTTAGATGCCGCCAGCTCCGGAGGGACGTCGGACCGGAGAATGGCAGAGCTGAAGCCCCTTAGCAGCCCCGCCAGGCGGGCGGATGGGGAAGGCGGGGAGTGTGGGCGCTGCGGGGCTGTCAGGCCCAGCCTGGGCCGGGGCTCTCTGGGGACGCGCTCTGACCCTCAGCGGGGCTCTCCAGGCACCGGTGCCAGCATGGTGCTGAGCACGAGGGTGCAGAAGCCTCCGGCCGGAGGGAATCTCACGCTGCCCGGTGGTCTCTGGCACCAGCCATGAGAACCACCACGCCCCCGGCCAGTGTGACTGCCCAGGCCTGGCACACACAGAAGCAGAGTCTCTTCAAGTGCGGCTCCCGGTACATGTCATTCCTCTCGGCACTTGGCAGGGACGAAGTCCAGCAAGGCAGTATTTCCCAGAGTGGGGTCTGACCGGAGCCGGCTGGGGCTGGGGCTTTTGCAAAGGGCAGACAATCATGTTGCTAATAGCTCCTAGCGCTCCTTCAGACAGACCCAACCCCCCCTACCTTTACAGCTTTAGGATTTTGGTCAGGGTGGGCTAAAAGATTATGGGATTCTATTTGACGCTGGGAAAAATTAAAATGCTCAAAAATACCCTAGGCAGTGTAGAAGCTAAGTAGGAGTAGAGTTTGGACTCACTTCCTGGGTGTAGACCCCTGTTTTCAAAGAGGATTAAATATTTAATTGAGTGAATATTCCTTTTCCATCAGCCAGATTTTTCTCAAAAGCCTGTCATCTATGTGTCTGTTCGCCCATCCATCCATCCTTCTACCTATCATATTAAAGCAGGGGGATGACAATGCAAAGAAAAGCCATAAACCCCTGCTTCCAAAAGGGCTGGCTTGGAAGGGAAGGAAGGCTTTCTGTAGGCTCATTTGTCTAACAGTTACTAACACCATTTACACCGTCTCCCAGCTTGGGGGCTCCGTGAGACAATCCCCGTTTCGCTTCTGATATTGTTGACTTTTTTATTCTTCTGATTCCCTCCATCACTTGCTTGCATTCAGTTACTTTTCTTAAGGAGCTCTCAGGTAGCCCGCAGTCACATTTGTCTTTGACTGAAAGAAGTTTTTTGCCTCCTCCCTGTGGTCAGGAGTGCCCGGGCCCCCAGGCCCCCCTGGGAGTGTCGACCTTCTGAAAGGGGAACCAGGAGACTGTGGTCTGCCGGGGCCTCCTGGTCCCCCGGGCCCACCCGGCCCTCCAGGACACAAAGGCTTCCCAGGATGTGATGGAAAAGATGGCCAGAAAGGTAGGAATGCACATTGTTCCTTAAGTAGTGCCCGAAGACTCTTGTTATCTTGCCCTTCAGGGTCTGGGTTTCTGCACCCCTGGGAGGTAACTTCATTTCCTATGGATGTAGTCACTGCATTTCTTAAGTGCCCTGCATTTCCCAAAGAGTCCTCAAGTTTGGGGAACAGTTGGACGAGTGAAAAGAAGAAACACAAGTTCATCTTCAGCCCCTAATAACATACTTGATAATCTTCTAGACCAGAACTAACAGCAGAAATAGAACACAAACTATGCATGTAATGAAAAGGCATGGTAGCCCCATTTGAAAAAGTAAAAAGAAATAAGCGACATGAACTTTCATATTTCCTTTAACAGAATATATTCAAATATTACTGCGTTATCATATCATCATTGACATAAATTACAAGTGCAATGACCAGGGCTGTTGGTACGACCTAGTCCCTCTCCCAGCTAAGACACTCCTCCTCCCCAGCTTTGAAGTCTGGTTCGTGTCTCAGCGTACAGGACACCCCAGTTTGGACGCGCTGATTCCAAGTGTTGAGTAGCCACATTGCTGTTCGTGGCTTCTGTAGTGGACAGTTCGATTTTAGACTGCTGACCTTGCTCTCTTATTTTCATGAGAGAGTCTCCATTATTGGATTCCCCCAATTTTTAAAGCCAAAATATTTTTTAATTCACTTTTACCTAACTGCTAATATTTGGGGATGTTAGCTTTTGGTCACCAGGTTTCAGAGAATTATTCAGTTCATAGAACTTTTTTGTTGAAAAGGGACCAATAATGGTTATCATTTTGTTCCTTATGTCATAGATAAGGAAGCTGGATAGAGAAGCAACTGTCAAAGTCAGCCCAATAACTGGCACTCTGCCTGACTTCTGAACCGAATGTGAAATAAAGCAAAAGATTAGGGCAAAATGAAGATCAGAATTACCACAAGGCTGCCATGATGACAGTGCAAATGGCATCCCTGTAATGGTGCAGTGCACAACCTGCACAACAGTACACAACAACCCTCTTCAACTTTATTAGCAATAAAATCAATTTTAGAGAATGTGGCTTATACCTGCAGGTATGTGGGCTTCCAATTACTGAACCCCAGAATTGGATAAACAGGCAAGCATGCTGGTCACCAAAGGGAAGGAAGAGGCTAGCTATATAACCTTGTTCCTTTCCCAAATAGACACTCCTTCTTCCCAGTTGCTACTCTAGAGAATGAACCTCCACCTGGAAATATTCTTCAGGATTGGGAAAATATTATGCAGTATAAGTAACAGCTACCAACAAAAGGATATACAACGACTTAGAAATATTGATGAAACCACTAAGCATGCTTCTTAACTCCCATTCCTGTGGGCGTATGGTCCAAAGAGTGTTTAACTGTGGAAAGGAGGAGGGATTTTCTTCATTTTACCTTTTCAGACTTAAACAGTGGGAAATATTTGATCTAGTCCACAAACATTTATTAGGTACCTACAGGAATTTAACAGTGAGCAGGTTTAAACAGTCCCCACTCATACTCAGTGTAGAGTGTCATTGGGGAAGACAGACATTCACACTAAAGGATCCATCAATATAAACTGAGGCAGGTGCTCCGAGTAAGGGACACTCTTCTATGACAGCACATCAAGAGCAAATGGAGTTGGGTTGGGGCCCCAGAGAGGGTTTCCCCGAGGAAGTGAGGCTTAGTAGGCATAGAAGAAGAGAAGGAACCTCACGCATGAGGCACTGAGTGGCTGGCGGGGCTGAAACAGGAGATTGTGAGGAAGAGAGGCAGGAGCTCAGGGCCAGGAGGCACATCGTCCCACGTGGCCAAGCCCATCCCCTATTTTCCCTTCACTCCCAGTCCTCTGTCTCCAGAGAAAGTTCAGGATGACCGGGCTTTTCATTCTATTTTAGTCCTGTCTTGATCATGAAACCATTTTCCTTACTCCTTTTGACGGACTCTTGTTTTTCCTTCAGACAGAGGCAGCTCTTAGCTTTACAGAAAAAGTGAGAGGCTCATCTGGATTCTAAGGCTGACTTTGCCCTGAATTTTGTTGGGGTGAATCTCTGAGTTCGGTCCACCTGACTGTCATTGTCTTGATATTGCTCCATTCCAGTGCCCCTGTCTTTATGTTCCTTTTAGGACCAATAGGATTCCCAGGGCTGCAGGGGCCACAAGGACTTCCTGGGCTCCCCGGGGAGAAGGGTTTACCTGGCATTCCAGGCAGGCAAGGGCAACCCGGTCTTCCAGGTAAGCTCCTAATGCCTAATGATCTCACCCAGCAGCCTACAGACAGCCTTTTGTTTCAATCTTTACTGTGAGGGTCGACTTGAAGCAAGTAATTTATTCTCAAAATTGCCTGCAATTTCTAAGAGTTAAGCTGTATTTATTTCAGGCCTCACTACACAATCTTATGTTTGGTAAACTAATATTTATTATTAGAATGAGTAAGTTTGCAAATTAGGAGCTGATTTTACAGAAACATTTCTAAGTTAAATAAATCTGTGTTTCCCTCACACAAGAGGCAAAGGCTGATTTGATTACTGTATGTGAGGACCATATTCATTTCTCTCCCTGAATTCCCACTGATTTTCCTAGATGTTTTATTTAACTTTTTTTGTAAAACACATTAGTTCCTACAAAGACAAAAAGGCTATTCAATTTAAGCTCAGTCGACAGCATGTTTTCAACATAGGATCAAAATAGGCCAAGGAAAATTTGGGAGGGCAAACAGACATGCGTATTTGAGATTGGCAGAAATAATATCTTTTGAGATCCTAAACCAATATTACGGTAATGTGATGTCAGTTCGGAATATTTTGCAATCTCCTAAATTAGTGCTTTAGTCCAAAGAATAAATAAATTGCACCGCTTTACGATGGATCACAGAACAACATGACAAATAGCTTATACTTGGATTCATCTCATATTTCCTTTCTGTGCATAACCTATAAACCTTGGCTAAATAATACGAAATTTTCAGAAGCCTGCCTATAGAACGGAATTTCTATATATGTAAAATTAGGGTATATTTGCTATAAGAAATCAATTCATTTTATATTGTACAAGAGAGCTTCATTTCACATTTTTCTAGATGTGAAAGCTCTATTATTAAATCAGAGCTGTTCTTGTCAGTAACATTGATGTGGACTTAGTTATGTAAATAAGATGCTGTCATTTTGCTCATCATTGATGCCATCCTCAGGTTATTATGTATATTCTCAAATAACCCATGTCACCTTTGTCCTAACTGACAAATTCAAAATCTCTTTCCACCATATGAAAATCGTTGCATGGCTTCACTTTTTGACTTTGGATCGCTCCAGGTCCCAGAGGTAAGTGCTGCTATAAAATCCGTAATTTCCTCTACATCTGGCTTCTACTTCTTTCTTTTTTTTTTTTTAATTTTTTTAATTTTTTTTAAAGATTTTATTTATTTATTTGAGACAGAGAGAATGAGAAAGAGAGCACATGAGAGGGGGGAGGGTCCGAGGGAGAAGCAGGCTCCCCGCCGAGCAGGGAGCCCGATGCGGGACTCGATCCCGGGACTCCAGGATCATGACCTGAGCCGAAGGCAGTCACTTAACCAACTGAGCCACCCAGGCACCCCTGGCTTCTACTTATTTCTATACTGGCCTTTCTCACTGTACTTGTGAGTTATACTTTGTTACATTTTCATAGATGGGATGCTGTAATTATATGAGGTGTCAGTGCCCTCGCTTCCTCATTACAGATATGGTAACCACATATTAGAGCATTCTAAAGCCGAGTCTCATTATAGGTTGTCAGGGCAGAGTAGACGCTCAGCTTACATAATTTCAATTCAGGTGCAGAGTGTGAGTGCTTTCTCTGTCAAATGCTCCAGCACATACCCATATAAGTTTCTTTTATAAATTCTACAATAGAAATACACAGAACATCCCTAAGACAAGTAGTATCAACAACCTGAAAAGATGGGTCCTTCACACCCAGTAAGGGGCTGTGACAAGGTTTTCCCATAACATCGAAGTCCATTTCCAAGGAACAAATGTGTTTGCGTGTTACAAGGAAAATGCTGTTATTCTTTTCAACTAAGTGTTCACCACAATGCAGAAACAACATATTATTTCATGTCTGGGGTTTCCAAAGAGACTAAAAAGAGTTTCTTAAAAGAAAAAAAGAAACTCAGTGAGTGTACACATTTTTGTTCTTTCCAGGCATCTCTTTATTAACCCTAATGAAAATTTGCCCTGAATGCAGGGTCCTTACACAAGAGACACTTTGGCCCCTTTCATTCAGCTTCTGGTTTATTAAAAAGTAAAGCAAAATCAGAATTTAAAAAGAATCCTACTCTTTTAAATGTTTCTATTTAAAAATTACAGTTGCAGGATGCCTGGGTGGCTCAGTTGGGTAAGTGTCTGCCTTCGGCTCAGGTCATGATCCTGGGGTCCTGGGATGGAGTCCCGCATCAGGCTCTTTGCTGGGTGGGGAGCCTGCTTCTCCCTCTGCCTGCCACTCCCCCTGCTCGTGCGTACGCTCTCTCTCTGCCAAATAAATAAATAAAATCTTTTAAAAGATAAAAATAAAAATTACAGTTTCATATTTAATGTTTCCATTTCCGTCCTTTTCATGTCTCTCTGTGTTTGCATGTATAAACTCATTTGAAGATAACATTAGAATCCTAACTATGAAGCACCAGCCAAATGCCTACCCTCCCCCCACCCCCCCACCCCCCGTTCCCTTACCTGCTTCCTTCGCTCCACCAGAATCCACAAGGTGATTCAGGGAAAATAGGAAATATTCATATGCATCTCCCTCAAGTCACCGAGAGTGGAAAAGCCACATTTTACGTTAAACTGTATGTACTGTAAAAATACACATGTGGTTTTATACAATATTTTATAAGAGATTAAATTCCAAACAGCTGACAAGGGTTCAAGTCTGTTTTTTTTTTTAAAGATTTATTTATTTATTTGAGAGCAAGAGAGAGAGCATGAGCTGGAGGAGGGGCAGAAGGAGAGGGAGAGAGAGAGAGAGAATCCTCAGGCAGGCTCCGCACTGAGCGCGGAGCCAGATGCGGCACTTGATCTCAGGACCCTGAAATCATGACCTGAGCTGAAATCAAGAGCCGGACGCTCAACCAACTGAGCCACACGGGTGCCCTGGGTTCAAGTCTGTTTTGCACAGACATACTAACTACTGGGTCACCTGCGTTGTCACTATGGCCAGATTTTCTACGGTTTTCTTGCTGCCGAATCACTGCTGTTCTTACACTTATTTTGCACATTTGCATGAATTTTAACAAAACCACAACTGATAAGCAGTGTGTTTTTAAAATATGTTGTATTTCTTGGAATTCATCACGCAGATGTGAAGTGTTCTGTAGGCCTTATGGTGTCCTGGTTACAGCTACAGGTTTAGACCCAGGCCATCTTTGATTTAATCTAGACTCTGCCATGTGTTAGCTGTGTGACCTTAGATATGTCACTTATTTACCTGAGCCTGGGTTTTCTTACCTGTAATACTCTAATAATAGCGGCGCATACACACACAGGCTTGTTGGGAGCCTTTCATTGTAAAGCACTTAGCACGGGACCTCGCACATGATAAGGCATTCAAGAAGTGTTAGCTGTTATCATTATTGGTTAGTGTTATTATGATTTCTTTTCCCTTGTGGAGTATTTGCAGGGTGACTGAATGAAGCTTTAGGAAAAAATATCTTAAAGATGTGAACATAACCAGGAAGGAAAAACACGCAAATCTTTAGAGCAGTGATTCTCCAATAAGATCTGCAGATCAGCACCGTTAGCCTCACCCGGGAACATGTTACACTAGCCCAGACCTATGTGCTCAGAAACTCTGGGCTCTGACCAGCCGGCCAGATGATTGTGATGCGCTAAAGTCAGAACTAGAGCTTCTTAGCGCTGAACAGTGAGGGAGCCCTGGCTGATGATGGAGTCATCCGGGGAGCTCTCCCACTGCTACCTGTGACCGGCGCCCAAAGGTCGGAAATCCAGTGAAGGTCACCAAACTATTGCTGCCCCAACCAGCCTTCACTATTCTGTTCTTGTTTGGCTTCCTCTGAGATCCCATTCACTCACTCAGTTGTGTATTTAACACAGTGCTTTCTGGAAGTTTCTCACGCGCCCCCCAGTGAACAGAAGTCCCGTTTTCATGGAGCTTATTTTGGGCTGTTGAGCACTCTGGAGGGGACAGAAGGAGCTTGTTTGTAAGGTTGGAATCTGTCACACAAGTGGTGATTGCAATTTCAGGTGAACCAGGGCCACCTGCCGATGTGGAGTCCTGCCCCCGAATCCCTGGGCTTCCCGGGGTACCAGGCCCAAGAGGACCGGAAGGAGCCATGGGGGTCCCTGGAGCAAGAGGGCCTCCAGGACCAGGTATGAGGCTCACACTGGTTGTTCATTTATCTGCATCAGATGCTGTTGGAAGGACAATCTAGGTGTCTTGCTATGTAGTTTTTAGCATGGAGCCTAAACACCTCGTGAGTAGGAAGCAATGTAATCTCCTTCCTCTTACACATTTTTCTACATTTCTTCCAAGGTTTGCTCATGTCCTCACTGGATCGGCACAAGCCTACTAGTTTTATGTTGGGCTCCTGCTTGAATCTCTCCTACGTGGGCAGCTTTGGGGCACAAGGTTTGAAGCCTCTTGTAGGACAGAGTAGATGCTCTATTAATAGTCATTAGTAGCTGTTGACTGGATTTTGAATTACAAACACTTGAATTGAGACTCAGTGGAGCAGAAACAGCCTCGGAGAAGGGGGGAAGGAAGTGTCTCGCTTGGAGAAAGGACAGCGAAAGGGGAAGGGTCATTCTAAATTATGGTCATGACTGGCGTGTTCATTTAATTGATTTGCTCATTGCTCATTGTCAGGGTAGCAGGATCCTTATTTAAGCACTCTGACCAAACCATTCCTTTAATTTTTATTTTATTTTATTTTTTTAAATTTTATTCTTATGTTAATCCCCATACATTACATCATTAGTTTTAGATGAAGTGTTCCATGATTCATTGTTTGTGCATAACACCCAGTGCTCCATGCAGAACGTGCCCTCCTCAATACCCACCACCAGGCTAACCCATCCTCCCACCCCCCTCCCCTCCAGAACCCTGTTTGTTTTTCAGAGTCCATCGTCTCTCATGGTTCGTCTACCCCTCCGATTTCCCCCGCTTCATTCTTCCCCTCCTGCTACCTTCTTCTTCTTTTTTTTTTTTCTTAACATATATTGCATTATTTGTTTCAGAGGTACAGATCTGAGATTCAACAGTCTTGCAAAATTCACAGCGCTTACCAGAGCACACACCCTCCCCAGTGTCCATCACCCAGTCACCCCATCCCTCCTACCACCCCCCCTCCAACAACACTCCGTTTGTTTCCTGCGATTAAGAATTCCTCATATCAGTGAGATCATATGATACATGTCTTTCTCTGTTTGACTTATTTCACTCACAAACCATTCCTTTAAAAACTATCTTCCAGATGCTTTATTTTCTCTTCACAGATCCCCATCACACTGGTCACTGACAAAGAAATTAGGGAGTCCAGGCTGGCAGCTCAAGGTCACTGATCTCTTCAGACCAATTGGCAGTGCCCGGGATTCTAGATAGCCTGTGTGCAAACTACCCAAGGAGGCAGGAGGCCATTCTCTCTCCTGGCTTCCCACTGCCCAGGTGTGGCCTTGGCTCTTTCTGGTTTGGGGACAAAGGAATTGGAAATAGAACTTGAGTTTTGCATCACCTGTTTGTGTGTGTGTGTGTTATCCAAAGCCAAATAGCTAAGGGCCCAAAAGATATCCCCTCTGTTGGCGTCTGAGAAGTTGTTGGGTAGCGTCCAGAACCTGGAGCCTCCCTCATAGTGGTAGTGGTTTTGGTTTGTTTGTGTTTGCTGCACTGCATCTGTGTTTATGCACTAAGTTAATTGGGTGTCACTTGGAGCAACTTCCATTAACAGCGTGGGGGACACTGGGAAGTGAGCATAGGTCTTTGTCACTCACTGCGTGGATCAAGCTCTGCGTCCGTCAGAATCACTCGTCACTCAACCTACTTTTTTTGTGTGTGTGTGTGGTTTTATACCTTTATTTGACAATCAGTGATTAGTTCTCATCCACATTAACTGTCTGTAGATTTTTGAAAGTGGAGACAGGTACATAGGTAACCAGTGTGTAGAGCTTGTTTGGTGAATCTTCCTCCTCGTTATGTTTTCTGGACAACCGCATAGGGATACGGTATGGAACATTCCTTATTCCTTTGGCCCAGACAGCTTTGTTGAGCCTGGTGTCAATGCGCTCATCTGGAGCCCCCATCTCCTTCATGACAAATTTCTGGATCTCTTTGAGTGCCCGAGGGGCACGCTTCCTGAAACCCACTCCATGGATGTGCTTGTGAATGTTGATGGTGTATTCTCTGGTCACTGCCTTGTTGATGGCAGAACGGCCCTTCTTCTTCTCGCCACCCTTCTTCGCGGGAGCCATTCTGCCGGGGCCCCAGTTGGAAAGGAAGCCACTCAACCTACTTTTCAAACCAACCCCCTTGTTATGTATACAGTTGCAACTGAGGGCTGGGACCCCCCCACACACATATATACACACCCCTTTAAAAAAATCTACTTTCAAGTAGACGATATGGCCAGTACTGGGGTTCTGCAAATTTATTTCAGTAAATACTTCCAGATCCTCTGTGCTCTTTAGAAAGTATGGTACTAGGTGTTGTGGGCAATACAAACATGAGTAAGATGTGTTTTTCCCCCTCCAATGCCTCACAACCTCATGGCAGAAATAGCTAGCCGAACATAAGTAATTCTAAATAATGGGAGTTCATAGTTTGTGTTTTCGAGGAGTTTCTGGCAAAGGCCTGAGGACAATGGGACCGGAGAGGTGAACTTTAGTGTGGAGGGCTGCAGGACTGCTGAGACCGAGGCAAGAGCCGGCCTTTGAACAGAGCCTATAAGGGGAGACGGGGCTTTGAGGAACCAGACTTTCCAACAGGGAGATGGCGGGGGCACAGGTGGGGTAGGTGGGCTGCATCCTTGCTACTCAAAGTGTGGTCCAAGGACCAGTAGCCACTCAGGCACAGACCTACCAAGTTAAAATCTGCATTTTAACAAGATCCCAGAATATTTATATGTATATTCAAGTTTGAGAAACCCTAACCATATTATATGAGTGCTGTCCTTAAAAGAGTCAGCTAAGAGCGACGCCATCCCTAGGGACTCAGTCCTCGCTATGGAGGGGCTGGAAACGAGAGCGATGCCTCCTCCCAGACCAATGGGATGCAGAAGGAGGCAGACCCCGAGGATCAGTGTTTTGGAAAAGCTCCCCAGATGACCCGCTGCTGCCCCCAATACCAGTTGAGACCAGTTGGGCGGTTGGGCTCACCCATTGCGGTGGCTTTGGAAAAGAACCAAAGAAAGTGACTGAGAAGAAAAAAACAAAAGGGCAAATAGTTATCTTGGGCACATTCAGGATTCTCTGTCCATAGACTGTGGGTTTCTGAAAGAGCGCTGACAGGCGACCCTACATGGGCCCAGCTGCGAGTGATCACCTGTGAGTCATCTCTCGTTCTGCCCAACTTGGGGTCGGATGAGCTTATCTGGTTGCAGGTGGCCTCAGAAGGTCTTCTCTGGCTTTCTGTGCCCTCTCCTTATTGATGTCACTGACCCTGCCTGCTGGCAGTGGGGGCACCTGAGGCCACCGTTGCGCCACAAAATATGACAGTTATGTTAAAAAAAAAAAAAGACAATTGCACAGCCCTTCCCGCGAGGTGCCACCCATTGGTCTCATAGCGGTGCTACGCTGCTCCATGGCTCAGCTTCCCTGGAGCTCCTTTCTGCCCTCCCCCAAGCACCCACTCCCATGCCAGTGTTCCCTTTTGGCTCCCTCTTCTCTGACATGGGCCTCCAGCTCTTGCTGTAAAGGACCCTCTTTGCCTGCAGTATATTCCTTGGCCCCCTTCCCCTGCCTGTTTCTGCTGGCCACCCTGGATACATTGGCCACACTGTCCAGTTGCTGAAAAGCAGTAAGTCTATCCTGAGGGTCCAAAGCAGCTGAACCCTGGCTGACTTGGGTCATCTTCAGGGCATGTGGCTCGTCATCTGTCCTCTCCTGAAGGTGATTCTTTCAGCTCGGTGTTGGGGGTCGTATGTGCTGCCCCCGAGGTCGGTTGCGAAGGATCAGCTGCCACTGGGAAGGACCACCTCCACTTCAGATGACGTTGTTGGCTTCTTCTTGTTTTCCCTTCCGAACCTCTTTCATTGCTAAGCTGATTTTGTAACCTGGTGCTGTAGCCGAGATCTATACAGAAAAAAACAAAGTTCTGGCTCTTTGCTGCCCAGGGTGAGTGGGTAACAGCCACACTAAATATAATTTGTTTCTGTTAAGAGTCCTCCACCATGGAAGGCCTCCAGTTTTTCTGCTCGCACGTCTCTTTGATCTATAACTTTTCCTTCCCCGGGGGGCCCTCAAAGGCTGGGGCTTCCTGGGATGAACACAAAGGTGGTTTCCATATCGGTTTGAACTGTTACCGCCTAATGGACATCCCCACATCCTGTTAGAGTGTGTTTAATCTTCAAGTCAACATGTGACGCTCTCCGAGGAGGTAATCCATCAAACACTGGAGGGCTTTTAGATGTAGCTCTAGTCCTTGAAACAAGTTCCAAGTGGAGAACAAGTCCACATAGGGAAAGACGTAGGCACACAACTCGGTTAAAAAGGCCTTCCTTCCTATCTCTGGAAATTGCCTGACAATTTCTCCAAAGGGAACAAAGCCTATATCTCAACATCTTGTGGGGGAGCTCTTTCTCCAGATCGACAGTGATCCTGCCGCACGTTGATATTTCAGGAAGATGCCTGTGGCCTTTTCAATGATCAGACCATTTGTTGGCTTGTCAACACTTGGGCAGCCCTTTCCAGAATAGCACAGTGGCCCCATGTTGCAATCATCTCGTGGGGTGGGAGAGAAAAGAATGCTCTCAGCTCACCATCAGGGCCCTGTGTTCCTTCCGAAGTAACTGATGTTCCCTTTGAAGCTGGTGGCACGGAATATGCCAGCCAGCGCACAGCAGCCCCACCCGGAAAGAGGCTTCTGCCCAGTTACTGGAAAGGAGAGGGCGTCTCTCACCCAGATGGGGAGAGGGAGAGGTTTCCTTTCTCACCTCCTGAATGATGATCATGGACAGAATGCAGTCCAGGAACTGCATGACAATCCAAGAGAATTTGTTTAAAACCCAAGGAAGTGGAAAGAGAAATGACAGTACCCCAAAAGCCAGGCATACTGGGGATACCAGCATGGGATGTGGAGGGGACGGACTGGCTGGTGGTGGGGACAGAGGAGGTTTGCATGGGACACTCTCAAGCAGGAAATATTAGAACAGGTTTTCAAAAGCACTGAGGTTTGGAGGGGCATGCATTTCAAATGGCTGTAAGAGGGGGTTCTGTGGGAGACAGGAAACCGAGTGGGACATCCAGCTGATCACCCGAGCATCCAGTCCCCCGCTCTCAACCCTCAGGTAGCTCCCCACTCCCTTGACTTGAAGAACAAGTCCAAGAGTGAAAACGTGAGCCCTCTCTGACTTCATGGTTCGTTTTAGGCTAATTCGTGGCAGAGAGAAAGATAGAACAGAGAGAGCGGGAAAGGGAGAGCGAAGAACAGGTAGAAACCAGAACCCTTGGGGGGCTAGTAATGCAGGGAATTCAGGCTAATGGCAAAACACTCCTCCACAGCCAAGGACCCTATCTGCTACTCATGAGAGGAGATTGTGGCTAATGATTTGATGCCTCGGACATAAGGAACCAAACATTGAACCCCTCGAGTATCCGTGTGACTGCTGCCAGGCCCCCAGTTTACGTCCTCCAGGGGGCACACCTGAGCTCCGCAGCTTGTCATGAAGCCTGCCTGGGCGCGGTTCCTCAACCCGCAGGACCAGCTCTGTCACCTTCCTGACCCTCAGTCTCCCCACTGGCAGGCTGACATACGAGAGCGCCTGGTCATGTGGCTGTTGAGAAGACCAAATTGGCTAATCCACGTAAAGGCTGGTACCTCCCACCTTGTGAACCCTCAATTATTATTTTAAAAAACTGCTGCTCTTATCTTGCTCCAAATGTAACTTGACTCCCAATGAATCCTATTAAGTTTTACTTATTCCTCCACTCAGCTTTCTTAAAAAAATCATTAATAAGGCTAATATTGAATTATAGACATCAGATATGTTCGATATAAAAAAAATTAAATATACAAGAATATGAAGAAGCGTGAAGACCTCTCTTCCAACATCTCCCTGGTCTAGCTCCAAATCCTGGCTCTGCCCATGACTGGCTTTTACTTAAGCAAATGGCTTGATCTCTCAGAGCCTAATGACCCCACCACCAAGCCGACATAGTACAATCCCAACTCCATGTATCTGGGAAGACGACGTGAGCAAATGCAGTGCAGTCCGAAGGGGGAGCCCCGGGCCGGAAGGACTAGCCCGTGTCCTGCCATTCTCACCAATGCCGTCGTGAACTCTCATGCAGGGTGCAAAGGAGAGTCTGGGCCGGATGGCAGGAGGGGTGAGGATGGACTCCCAGGGTCCCCTGGGCCTCCTGGAAGCAAAGGGGACGCGGGAGAAGCTGGCTGCCCTGGAGTACCAGGTAAAAATTTTCAGCTTCTCTTCTTTTCATTGACACCATAGATCTGGGAACTGTGTATGAGATCCCTGGCCTCTCAAGCGGCTTTCCAAACTGATCCTATTAAAAGCATTTGCCTTAGATGTGGACTCACCAGGTATCAGGGAGGCAGAAGCAGCAAGAGTGGAACAGGATGAATCCCCCACGTTCTGACTGATCCTCAACCACCAAAAAGATGAGTCCAGGCCTTCTTCCCCCGTTTAGTATTTCCCCAAACCACTATGCATTACCATAAAAGCCTCAGCCTTTCCCAAGGCAAGCCTGGCATTGTGTGTGATCGCTACTGAGAGGCCGTGAGGAAGATGAGGGTGGCAGGGGCGTTCTCACCCGCCACGACTGGCCGAATCACTTGGCCTCAGTTTTCTGAGTTCCCTTCATCTTATTGCACAACTGTGGATGCATTTATATAGAATACAAGGCTCCTTCTTAAGAAAAAGATTGGGGAGTAGGCATTGCGTGAGGAGAGAGGTAAGACATGACAGAATAGTAATTTGAAATATAACGCGCCAGGTAACATTGCTGGATGCTGGGGACCCCAAGACTCCCAGGTACAGTCTCATCTTCGCGGAGGATCTCCCAGGTTGTTAATGAGGAGTGAAGGGGGCCGGTGATGTCTGTAACAAAACGGAGCCTACAGCTCAGCCTCAGCCAATTGCTGTGTGTAGAGGGGAGAGTTCCATGCTGCCTATGCTCTGCTTTCCAAGTCCAAGACCCCCGCCGTGCAGTCTGGACTGGTCAAACGGAACAGGGGATCAGGCCAGATCCAGTGTACAAGCTACCATGTTGTAACCTCTGGTTTACAGTATAGATGGGGAGAGCCTGCCAATCTTCCAGAAATGAGTTTTTAAAAAAATAAACAACTTTTGGTTTCCCTTTGGCTCTTGGCAATTAGAAGTAGCCATTGGCTTCCTTCAGTGGGCCAGCCCCTTAGACATGCCACAGGAGACAGACCCTGCTCGCATCCTGCAGAGCTACTCAATTCCCACCTGCCGGCAAGAATGCCGGAACTAGGGCTTCCTTCCTCCTCCCTGCCTCCCAAAAGAAGGTCCAAGTGGTGCATGTGGGTCCCAATCCCCTGGATATGCCAGAACTGTGGGAGAGGTCTGGGAGGGATAAGGAAGACCCGCTTTGACAATCACCAGGCTCCCAGTCCAGTCTGAGAAGGTCACACATATCTGGGAGGTCACACGGCAGGGGTGACACCACCCCATCTTTTTCTGCTCAGCATTTATCACTTCCTAACACATTTTATGGTTTGTCATTTCTCTTGTTCAAGTAGAATGTAAGCTCTAGGAGGGCTGGGAGTTTTGTCTGTTCAGTGTTTTCTTTTTGTTTTGTTTTTTGTAGTTTCAAGTGTTTATTTAAATCCCAGCTGGTTAACATACAGTGTAACATTAGTTTCAGGAGTAGAAGTTAGTGATCCATCACTTACGTGTAACACCCAGGGCTCTTCCCAACAAGTGCCCTCCTTAATCCCCATCAGCCATTTAACCCATCCCCCCTTCACCTCCCCTCCCGCATCTGTTTTTATGCTAAATTAATCTGACCACCTGGGAGATGCTTGGAATAAATACTTGCTGAGTGAGTTGTTTGTATATATTGCAGTCCTGTCAGGGGCCATTCCTGAGACCGGCCCTGTCATGCTCCTCTCTGCTCCCTGAGTGCTCAGAACGGAGGTGCTCAGAAGTGCTTGTTAAAGCAACCCCCTTAACCTGCCTCCATTTTTTTTTTCTTTATTCCTCCAGGCCCTCCTGGGCCCATTGGGGACCCTGGGCCCAAAGGGTTTGGGCCTGGATACCTCAGTGGCTTCCTCCTGGTTCTCCACAGTCAGACGGATGGCGAACCCGCCTGCCCCGCGGGCATGCCCAGGCTCTGGACGGGCTACAGCCTCTTATACCTGGAAGGACAGGAGAAGGCGCACAATCAAGACCTTGGTATGTGTGGAGCACGTGGTCATCCACGTCCATCACTTAGGAGGACAGCTTTTGGGTTACTTTTACAGACTCATCAACATCTTCAGGGATCACTCCTCTCCCGTGGAGTTTTTTCTTTTGAAACAATCATGCTAATTGCCAGTGAATTCTATGAAAGCAGCGATCCTGTGGGGCACCAGAGCAGCTCAATCTGGCTACAGTAGTTATCATCCGGCTACTGACTCATTTTTAAAAAATGATCCTTCCTCAGCAGGTTAAATTTAACTCTTATATAAAGTGTAGTTTTTACCTCCCAAAGTACATTATTTAATCAGGCCATGGTCAGTTCCTGTGTTTACATGTCAAATGGCGCATCCACAGCGGCCGGGGGCGGTTAGATGATGTGCAATTAGCTGGTACTAGCTCCCCGCCCCACTCCAGCTGGTTTTTTAAATTATAGAACTTGATTCTGGGAGTCATCCCTTGCTGCTGCTTGTCTGTTTTCTTATTTATTTGAGAGAGTATGCGCAGGCACACATGGGAGTCAGGCGAGGGGCAGAGGGAGAGAAACTCAAGCTGACTCCCGGCGGAGCCAGGAGCCTGATATGGGTTGATCCCAGGACCCTGAGACCAGGACCTGAGCCGAAACCAAGTCAGACGCTTAACTGACTGAGCCACTCAGGCGCCCCACTTGTCCATTTTCATTAGTAGATTTGTAAGCTGCAAGGACTGATTTTGAGTCAGTTTACCCAGGTGCTGGCAAACGCTGTCTCACCCAGATGGTGATGGTTGGGTAGTGGGCGCAGGAGGGACATGACAGCAGGGGGCGCTGATGGAGGGGGAGCCTCCTCACTGCCCTCACTGGGCTATGACCCCTGCTGTTAGCAGGGGTGGGCAGGAGCTCAGGCCTAGCTGTGGCAGTTGCTTACAGGTCGTTCCCCGTTGGGCTTAGCCGTGGACCTTCCTAGTAGAGGGCCTGGGGTCAGGGGGAAGGAAGAAGTAATGTTTAGTATTTTGGCTCTTGGACTTCTCGCCTCCTCCGACCCCCTTGCCTGGCCTCTGTTCCATCCGTCTCCTCCCACCCCGGTCTAGCCAGAGCCTCCTCACAAAGCTCTGCAGAGCCCTGGGGTAAAATCTAAGCTCCTTACAAGACAGACAAAACCCGCAGCCTCTGGTCTGACTTCTCTCTGGACCCCCTGAGACACACAGACACACAGACGTCCCCCCACCCCTCGCCCCCCGGAATTCCTTTGATTTATTTGAGCTCCACACTCCCTCACCTCTGGCCCTCCCTCCTGCTCTGTCTCCTCCTCTGAAGAGTCACCATCTTCAAACCTGGCCAAATCCCGGTCGTATTTCAGGCCCTAGCATAGATTCATTCTTCCGGGTATCCTCTCCGAAGTCCCCGTGCGCCTGCCTTCTCAATCCTAGGGCTGGCCCCAGTGCCCCGCCGTCTCCCCAGCCGAGCCAGGGCGTGAGCTTTGCGGAGACAGAGCTGGACTAACCGCACCCCTCCAGCGGCTGGCCCATTGCTCGGTTCGGTTCCCGAGGGAATGAGGAGTGGATGAGTGGATGAGGGCTGGCCCCGGGGCCAGGGAGATGGCAGAACGGTCGGCGCGTACCCTGCGCTCCCCGCCTGCCACAGAAGCGGGCTTTGGCAGGTGCATCTGGGCGGCGGGACGCGTGGCTGCGGAGGGCGCGCGCGGGCAAGGTCCCTGCGCACCGCCGGCCTGGCGCCTCGCCCACCACCTTGCCTCGTGTTCCCTCCCAAGGGCTGGCAGGGTCTTGCCTCCCCATGTTTAGCACGCTGCCCTTCGCCTACTGCAACATCCACCAAGTGTGCCACTACGGCCAGAGGAACGACCGGTCCTACTGGCTGGCGAGCGCCGCGCCGCTGCCCGGGACGCCGCTGTCGGAGGAGGAGATCCGCCCCTACATCAGCCGCTGTGCCGTGTGCGAGGCCCCGGCGCCCGTGGTGGCTCTGCACAGCCAGGACCAGTCCATCCCCCCGTGCCCGCGGACCTGGAGGAGCCTGTGGATCGGGTACTCGTTCCTGATGGTGAGCCCTGCAGGCCCCCCGTGCCCCCCGGGGACTCCGGGAGCTCTGCGGAGGGGCAGACGGCACTAGGACGTGGGGTCGTAAGCCCACCCCAAACCCTAGCCTGTCCAGATGCGGGGCCGTTCCTTCTTACTGCCCATCCGGGTTGGTTGGTTGGTTGGTTTTTATGATTCTGCGAGGGTGTAGACTTTGGATTTGTCTCAGTCCCCCCAGAGAAAGTGGTTTCATTTTGTGTCCCCCACTCCTTTCCTCGGGGGATCCTAGTCAGCTATTCCTGGGAGCCCTCCACGTGGCACGGACTGGGCCTGGGGTCGTCTGCCCGTGTCTGAGCCCTAACTCTGTCTTGTCCTGGCAGCACACAGGGGCCGGGGACCAGGGAGGAGGGCAGGCCCTCATGTCCCCTGGCAGCTGTCTGGAAGATTTCCGAGCCGCACCGTTCCTCGAATGCCAAGGCAGGCAGGGAACTTGCCACTTTTTTGCAAACGAGTATAGCTTCTGGCTGACGACAGTGAGACCTGACTTGCAGTTTTCCTCCGCGCCCTCGCCAGACACCTTAAAAGAGAGCCAGGCCCAGCGCCAGAGGATCAGCAGGTGCCAGGTGTGCATGAAGCACAGCTAGAGAACCCACAGCTGGCCAACATGTGGCCAGGAGAAACTTCCTCGGGGCCCCCGGGGGGCCCAGGCTGCGCTAAGAGATTAATGGTGCTCATTTCAGACTCCGGGTTCAGCTGCCCCTTCCGTGTATGTGGTTTTTCCCACTGACCTCTCATCCCTTCCTCTGTTTGGGGCAGATTAAGCAAATGCTCCTCGTATGGATTTGTTTGGACCTACCAATCTTGATGAAACCCAGATATCCTTATGTTTTTGAGGATGATGGAAGAGCCAGCTTTATTTAAAATGATGCTAATTCACAGGAAGGCAAAGAGATGATAAAGGCCAGATTACAAATTACATTACTGAGAACTTCACTCATTGGTTAATAGCATCTCAAACAATTGAAGTCAATTACTCTGTAATACAGTGGGCTTCCGGATGGATTTTTATAGGGAAAAAAAAAAAAATAGGCCGACAAATGAAACTAGAAAGTAGAGATTTCCAACATCTCAAAATGATTTCTTCTGTAATCTGTTTCCCCATGCACTTTAAATAATTGTGAAACTGTGACCCAAGAAGATGTAAAAAAAAAAAAAAGAAAAAAGAAGAAGAAGAAGAAGAAAGGAAGGAAGAAAGAAAGAAAAAACCCACACAGCCAGTGTTAACAGTTCATTTCAAAGCAGAATGAATCATTATGCCAGGAAGGACCCCAGTGGCTGGATTCCGGAGATGCTACATTAGCATAAATACATCACAGAGGAACATAAAACGTGTTCTCTTCTGCATTTTTCAGAGAATGGAAATGCCTACTTTGGCAACCCTTTTTGAAAAGTAGCATTTATGGAAAAAATTATATTCAATAAGGGATTAAGAGCCTTAGAGCTATTAATGAATATTAAGGCAGTGATTCACAAAAATGGACTCCCCATTGCAGTGAACTTCCAAACAGACGGCATTTGCCCAGTCGGGGTCCAGCTAGTCTTCGGTGTGCACGCGCTAATGGGACTGAAGCCACATGGGGCTCACTCAGACGCAGCAGCTCACACAAAGCATCCTGCTCCCCTCCCCAGGAGCGCCTGCAGAGCTGCCTCGAACGAAGCCTGCCACGGACGCTTTTCCTCCAAAACATAATGGCATTTCATACCGGGAAGTGACAGATCTATCATTATGCACTTGGGAGAAAATTAAGGGCCGGCTTAATTAAACTTAGGTAAGAAGATTCATTTAAGTCATGGTCACCCCGCCAGGAAGATATGGTGCTATTTTAGAAAAAAATAAAAAATAAAACAACCTACAATTTGAATTTTATGTGCCTGTTACTGGTTTTTACAGAAGCATCTTGTTTTTCCAATTTTAAAAAATTCCTCTATTTTTTGTCAGTATCCTACCAAGGCAGCAGTTTGACATTTGGTATTAATATTTTCTATAAAAGTTTAGAAGATATGTCAATTTAGAATGAGTAGTTTTCTGAATAGCAAAAGATACTTTCCTATTCTGATAGGGATTCAGTGGTCTAATCCTAAAAGTCAGAAACCTTGTTGGAAATAAATTGGAGGAAACCTGCCTTCCTTATTTAAAAACACGTCATTTTAGAAAAAAACTAAAGAAATTTCTCATGAGCAAGTGACACTCATTTTTGTGCTTAGTTTCAATGCGCTTAAAAATAATTGAGAGAAGAAAAACATAATAAAATTTTGTTTATAAGATGTTTTACTTGCCAAACATTGATTAGCAATGAGCTCTTATATGTAGAACATATTTCAAATGAGCCTTGTTATGGGCTACTCCCGGGATGGCAATTTATTTTAATACTTTCCAGTAAAAAGAAAAAAAATGTACATTTTAAGATGAAAACAGAGTATTTCCTAGTTCATTTGACCCATTTATTGATTGTTTTTAATCGTGCTATGGCATGTTACGTATTTTTGAGCACCTGAAATTAAGCCAATTTCAACCTCGTTTATAATTATTACACTTTTCTGTTTCCCAAGTTTTGTTATGTGTTACCAGATGTCAAGCCTTCTAAAATTTCATCTTGTTCATTCATGAATTTGGTCTGAGAACATTTTCTGGGAAGAGATAAGGGTGAGAAATAGAACGTTAGAGACGTACCTTGCTTGCTGAAGTATTTTATGCACATTAGAATATTATCTTAGTAAGCTTGCCAGATACATCTTAAAACACAGGCTGAATTAAGTGGACAATTTACTCACGGCGAGCCTGGGATTGTGTTTGAGACTGTCCAAAATACTGATATTGCAAGAACCCCTCTCTAAATGCTGCACAATTGTTGCCTTCCAATTTTGGAAAATTATTGTAACTGGTCTAAAGGGCAAAACTGTGGAACAGATAACTCCTCAGATTAGAAGACTCTGCTTTCTTCACCTGGTACTTTGAAATGTCCTTTCTCTGTGAAGGATGAACAAAGCTTAGTGGTGGCTAATCCATGACTGGTGATGATCCTTATCAAAATTTCCTTCCCAGGAAGCCCCTTGGTTAGAAAGCATATACACTGGGGCGCCTGGGTGGCTCAGTTGGTTAAGCGACTGCCTTCAGCTCAGGTCATGATCCCAGGGTCCTGGGATCGAGTCCCGCATCGGGCTCCCTGCTCTGCGGGGAGCCTGCTTCTCCCTCTCCCACTCCCCCTGCTTGTGTTCCTTCTCTCGCTGTGTCTCTCTGTCAAATAAATAAATAAAATCTTAAAAAAAAAAAAAAAAAGAAAGCATATACACTGTCCAGTGGGCACTGCTCTGGGTCACGCGGGGGAGGACGGGATGTTTCCTCCTGGGTTCTTGTTCTCAGTGAGTGGAGCCCCATCCATACAGGTGTCCAGGTACCCAGGTCTCTGTGCTGCCGGTGGTGGGTGGCTCATTCCTTGTCCTCTCATATTTCCCAGACTGAAACTCAGAGACCACTTCCTGTGGATTGCCACCTTCCCCTCTGGTCTCAGTGCCTTAATGCAGCCTTTGTCTTTCCCCCATACTTTTGATGGTAAACAGCTCCCAACTGACACCTCCACTTTTCAAATCCCAGTCGTTCCTCCAAGATGCAAACTTGTTCTTGTTTTTCTTGGGCTTAAAAAATCGTTCAATGTCTCCTGTGCCTGTGAGGTCCAAGTGACTTCCGGTGGGGTGACAGGCTGCCCGCAGCTCTCCTGTGCACACACCCCAGAGGCCTGTTCCCAGCTCTGTGACCCGGCTCCTGCTCTTTCTCCCAGTGACGTCCCCGCTCAGGGAAGTCCCCTGGAATGCAACAGCTTCTTGACAGAGGGAATGAGCTGGAGGGGAGAGGTGGGTGTGAATTTCCCCAGGGAGACTCGGACTCCCTTCCACTGCTCCCAGGGCAACAGATGGGCCTGGCCACTCTCCCATGCCCCCTCTTCGCCCCGGTAAGGTCTGCTCACACTTCCTCCATGCTCTCTGGTCCAGTGCAGGCCCCTGGAGGGCAGGGCCAAGCTTCACTCAACTGTACACCCAGTGCCTACACAGAGCTGAGTGCATTACTGATAATTCTGCTTTCAGTGACAGTTCAATAAGTACCATTAGGCGTTAGGTGCATGTAGGGCTCTCGTGGACAAAACGGTAACAAGTATAAACCATTTCTTACTTCAAAATATGTGAATGCACCCACAGATCTGCACACCCACCATCTCCTCTTAACAGTTACTGACAGAAAGCCAACTGATAAGCGGTAACCCTTACCCCCTCCTGAAATACAGCTTACTTTTCCAAAACTGAAATTTCAGAAAGGATAAGATCCTTGAGATTTGGCTGAGAGAAGGCTCTTCACTGAAATGTGACAAGACTAAACTCATGCCCTAACCTGTACTCCCTCCCTCATCACGTGAGAGCTTCCTAGTACAAGACCACATCGACGAAGCCTGTATACGTGTTTTCTGTGCTTAGCAAAAGAGTCAACGGAATGGTCCACTAAAACTGGATTGTATCAGATTTTATTTTGAGCCTCTTGTAGATTATAATAAAGCAAACCATTCTGTGCATTCCAGGAAATTGCATTAGATTTGTTTCGATCAGCTCGCCAAACGAATTTGATAATTTTTACTTTTATTTTGTACGACTGCAGGAATAGTGGGAAAATGTGGACTTTGGAGTTGGTTTGAAGTTGGCTCTGTCACTTCCCCGCTGTGTCACCCGGGGTGAGTTACACCTGCTCTCTGAACCCCATTTTCCTCATTTATAAAATGGGACATAACACCTACTCTTACATCGAAAATTAAGTTAGATTATACGTCTAGCACGTAACAATCATTGCGCATTTATTCTGGTCACATCTTCTATTTAAAACAATTTAATATGAAAAAACATTTCTTGGGTTTTTCTCTGTAGTAGAATTATATTATGATTCTTACAGGGCATATAAATTACTGATTAGAATTATTATACCTGGCAATTCTTCGTGTCTTTGGGAATGTTATTTTATTTCAATTCTCAAAGTTACTGTAACCTGCCCCCCCCCCCCCCCCCATGCACACACAAAATCACAATTTCCTACAGGGACATTATCAGGAAGTTCTGCAGGGGACAAAACAATTGACATTAAAAATCAGTACTCTGCAATTGTCACTGTTATTATCTGCCAGAGACTCTGCATAATGCATTTTAAACCGCCAAGGCTGGCTGCCACATCCATGTGAAATGCTTGAATTTTATGGTGCTTAAATATTTAATGGTTCATAGGAAAAAATGTGAGATGTGTCCAATAAATTGCATCCCTCTCTCTAACCTATGGTTGTAAAGTATAAAGATTTTTAACCATGTAACACTTGCAAGATACCTGGTCTGCTATTGTCACCTAAATCTTGGTTGTATTATAAGTTATAATATTGTTCATTATATATAAAATTCTGTGATGGCCTCCCAAAACAGCTGTTTTATCTGGTGCATTTATTTTCTTTCAAGCTAGAGTCAGTTTACTTTCTGAAGTACCTCACTCCTACTGTGGCTCGTTTTGGAGTTGGCTTAGTGGGGAGAATGGGTTACATGGTCAAGGTATAGACTGTAGGGGGGAAGAGCATGGGCAGAGTGTAGGAAGTGCCCCCTTTGAGGAAAGGATGGGATTCGGAGGCTCTGGGGAGTGTTTGCCGCACACAGTGACAGGGTGGGTGATGGACAAGGAACCAGGTCTCAGGGCCAAAGGGTCTGAGTTGTGTGGGTAGGAGCCCGGGGGCTCAGACCCTGCGGACCTCAGTTGTCCTACTAGTTGAAGGAGAATGAGACCACCTGCTTCACAGGGTTGTCCTGAGGATTAAAAGTTAGAGATACAACTACAAAGAGAAAAAAATGTAAGGTACTCTCACTGATAACCATCGTAACTGGAAGTTAGGGGTTAGGCATTGATAGTCAATAACTTTTCATGGAGAAAGAACAGTATTTAGCATTTCTTGAGCACCTGCTAAATGACAGGAACTGTATTAACCCTGTTGTATGTGCTCCCCCCAATGTCCCAACGATCGTATTTTACAGACAAGAAGACTGAAGTTTAGGGAGAATAAGTAACTTGCTCAAGGTCACAGTCAGCACCCAGGGGAACATGAACCCTGGTCTGTCACTAAAGATTGTGCTCTTACCTGTTAAACCATCACCTCCCAGAAGCTTCCCCATTTGTAGGTTGGCTAGTAAATGAAGGGTCTCATGTAGATGTCACTGTGAACTGTTGCTATCACTGGAAAGTCCCAGTCCTTAGGCAGTCTGCCCAGCTCGATGTGGAGACGGTCTTCAACTGTCCTTGGAGGGAAGGAGGTGGGGGGAACCAATGAGGGCAGAGTGATCTGGGGGGAGCCCGAAAGGCCCACTGTATCTCAGGGTCTGCTGAAAACTGGCCAGGCCTCTGGAGCCCCTGGATGTCCATTCCAGTTCGGCCATTCAGGAGAACTTCTCTGAGTTGGAGAAATAAGTATCTGGAGGTCCTTCCCTGGAGGCTCGGTCACTGTGGCACCAGCCAACTTAGCTGTTTTCATTCTCCTGTTTGCCAGCAAGGCACTTTCTGTGACGCATTATTCTGGGCTTGCACCCTCAATGATAAAATACCTAGGCTTTATGATTTTATCAGCTAACTGTGCAATTCTCAACCAGTAATCATTTTCATCTCTTTATCTGGAAAAAGCAAGGCAATTTTAAAAATGAATAAAAAGCTTGGGTCGCCAAGTAGCCCCTCTGCTTTGCGATACACACGATACCCGGGGATCACCAACCTGTGAGCACGTGTGCAGGCTGGATCCACCGTTTATGCTGCTCTCACAGTAAACCAGGAGTAACCGGCACCTTGCGCATCTGGAGTACATCAGGCCGGTCCGGTGCGGACCCCACAGCTCCGCGCACAAGTACTTGTGATTGGTGCCTTGCGTGCAAGAGGGAGGTGGTATGTGGGCTGCAAGTGCGTTCTTCCCCTCGGGCTCCCTTCTGCTGAGACCAAGCCCTCTCTCTCCTGCTCCGCACAACAGAAACAGCAGGGGGCGTTGCCAGGTACGGGGGCTGAGCCCGGGGTCCC